ATATATAATGTGTTTAGCATATATTCTGACGTATATTACTAAGGAATTTTAACGTAGTTCATATTGTTCGATATGTTTTTATTTAATAACTTATTTCTTTCATTCTGTATAATCTGCCTATTATGAAAGTTGAAGATTTTCAACGATATCATTGGCAAACCGGCATCGCCGCGCATGGCCGCCTATTCATCGAACATGATTGGCAGTACGTCACAGGATTTGTTACCACGCGGTTGCCATGGCTTTTACGCCTTTCCTATTCGCTTGCTTTATCCCCAACTTCACGGTCTCTTCTGAAAAGAGTAGGAATATTGAATACTATTGAAATATCCAGTGGCGGTGTCATTTTTTTGATCATTATTACTTTATTTCATTATTTTATACCGGTTATCCTAAACTTTATTCCTATATTTTTAGTATATTTGATAGTTAAGTTGTGTTTTATTGTTTTGTTATCTTGTTATAATGTTTTTCGTTCGTAGTTTTTAATTATTAATATCAAGTTTGATCGTATATTTGTGTTTTAAAACGAATAAATTTGTTAAGGGTAAGACGCTACATAGTCAGACAAGAGAAATAATAGCTAATTTATATAGGTAAGTTAATAATAACGTGGATGAAATCTCATTTGGTGTATTTCCTTGTGTTCATAATAGGGTTTGCGATGAAGAAGCTACAGAGAGTTCGCTTGAGTTGCCGCTTAAACGTAAACTTGAGCGGATATTTCTTTATACCGGAGTTAGCGTATCGGCTATAAAAAAATTCACACAGAAGATAAAAAAAAGGCTGAAAACTAACCCCGATAAAATGATATCCGCTCTGGAAAGAAACGACCAAGTGAGACTGCTGTCGAAAAGCTCGACGACTTTTTCGAAGTGGTCAGGAATTTGATAAATAAATTTTATCTCGAATTCAAACTCGTCCCCACAATTAGAAAGCTTTTGCAAAAATTGCAGGAAGAATCGAATTTTCCTTTTGCAGGGAAATGCTTAGGGGGTTATTAAAATCAAATGAATTTTTTTGGCGTAAATATCAAAATAACAGATAATTATTAATGGAGCGGCCCATTATATTGCAGAGAGAGATTGCATTGCAAAAATATATACGCGAAATTCGAAAATATAGCCAAGTATTATCTATTTGGATGAAACATATGGGTAGACAATGACCTAACCTTTAAAAACTGCTGGCGGAGCGATACCATATCTGGTGTAATAGGCAATATTGGATCTACTAGTGAGTAAAATTATGTTTTGTTTGCGCTTCCAAAGTTAACTATTTTCAAGATTTTTTTGCTGGAAATAGTTATATCTAGAATTATGTATTATAGAAAAAAATATAGTTAGTACAGATATATAAATAAATATACCTCAAGACTCAGTCTTGATCATCTGCTGATGGCACACATGGTTAGCGAAACGTGCGTCCAGTGTAAAATTAAAAGTGTTTTGGTGGATTGTACTGATTTAGTGTTTTATTTTGCTGTGTAACACCAAAGGGTCCAACCCTCAGCTGTAATTATTTCTTCTATTATATTAACAACACAATAATAAAATGATTCAAAATACTTAAGGGAGCTTTAATAAAAGCTTTTAGTGTTTATCTGCTAACTCAACAGTAACGATTCAAACAGCATAAAGTTTTTTGAAAAAAATTATTAATCTGAGTATTATATTTATGATACACATTATTTTCATATAACACCGTACGCCCATGCCTATTTTATGAATGAAATTGGGCGTGTTTTGTTTACAACTGCGTTCCCCTGCCGATACCCCGTAGCTACAGATCCGTTGGTCACACTATATGTTATCGGATCCGGACCTAAAGGAACTAAATAAAAGACTAGTTTACGTACGGATCGGCCAGCGCGATTGATGCTAGGCAGGTGTGGGGAGTGCCAGACGTATGTTAGTGGATCCGGACCTAGAGGAGATAATTAAAAGACTAGTTCACGGGAGTCTATTCAGTCGGCCTTGTCTATTGCCACAGCCGGCGTATTTACCACAGAAAATGGTCGCGCGATCTCCCTTTTTGTATATAGTTGAGAGGTAAGCCTCATTCCATTCTTGTGGCACATCCGTTCCGTTTATGCAGTCCTGGAAAAATAAATAAATAAAGACTAAAAATAAATAAATTCTCTAAACCCAAAAAAACTATAATATTACAGTAAATAAAAAAAAGTTATAATAAGTGTTCAAAAAGACCACCTTCTTGTGCTAGATAGAAGCCTAGGCGGTCGTAAAATCCCCGTCTGACATTGGCTAACATATAAGGGCTAATAGTTTGGAAAGTCTCTCGTATTTTTACTTGAAGCTCATCCAAATTATTAGCCCTATTATGACCATACACTTTGGATTTTACATAATCCCACAAAAAGAAATCATTAGGGGCCACAAAATAGTTCCATATCCACTAATTAAACGGTTGGGAAAAGTATTGTTCAAATATTCTTGGACAATACGGGCATTGTGGGCAGGGCAACCACCTCAGTAATTTGATTACTTGAAAACGTGGGATTTTGATCCGCGGTAGCACAAACGAACACTTGCTTTAACTCCTGTTCTTCATTAATCAACACATCAGGCTTTTTGTGCTTTTGTGGGGACACGCACCCATGTGTTTCAAAATTATTAATAACTCTTGATATAGTAGATAAAGATGGAATTGGCCTGTTTACATAAGTTTGTGGAAAAATTGTTTGTACATCCCGATAACACCTATTTTGGAAATATCATTTTACAATTTGAATTTTCTCACGAACTTCATAAACATCAATTATTTTACTTAAAAAATAAATTTTACACGAGAACTGTCGCGAGAATCTACGTATTCGTTTTGCCTATTAAAACCTATCAAACCTATGTTTATTGTATCGCATTTTTTCGCCTGTTTTTTATCCGGCGGACGGGTATACGCTAATTCGTCCGGTTCTGCCTATGTTACTACTACGGTGGTCCGGTCTGTATACTATTTTCCAACGTCACAAAAGTATTAATTTTTGCCAATCTACAGTATACAGGGTGTCCCATTTTCGTGTGTTTTGCAGGTTACCTCGCTTATGGGTAGAGATACAAAGATGCAAAGAAGTTTTTTTACATCACTGTGCTACTTTTTACCTATTTACATCACTGTTATACTTATTTCCAAATATAAGGTAAAAAAAGCATTATTTAACTTTTTAACACAGGCGGCCGGTTTAAATTAGGTAAACAAAACAATCTAATAATTTATTCTACGTGAGAATTTCAAAAGTGACAACTCTCAGCGAAAAACTAGCCATTGGATTCTACGTGACAAGGCGCCATTTTTAACCCAAATGCCTAATATTTAACCCAATTTACAGACTTTGATATGATTTACAGACTATGATCTGTATCATCCACCGAGGGGAATCAAAAAATGCAAAATTTTCAAATTCGCCCTGTATTTCAGGGACTAAGGCGGCTAAACAAATCTGTGTAGCATCTTTAGCTTCATAAAAAGTAGCACAGTGATGTGAAAACCGCATCTTTGTAGCTCTATTCATAAACGAGAAACATTATAAAACAGACGAAAATGTGACACCCTGTACATTAAAATTTTAAGGTGTCTGTTTTTCGAGTGAAAAAAATGTAATTTAGGTCACTGATAATATTTGTCCATCTCATAAAAAAAGCAAAGAGAACAACTTTTTCAATTTATTAAGTTTTCGTAATTACATTCTCACGACTCGTCTACTTGACAAATATTTGTAATTCGTAGAGAGGGTATACACGGTGCGTCGGGTATCTATATCTAAGGTTAGGTTATCTATACAGAATTTCTAAGTTATTTATTATAGGAACTACGCCGCACTCCCGCCAGACCCTGTAGTAGAGGTGTGTAGTTCGTGAAAGAAATAGTACCAATGAACTATTCCGATCCCGTAATGAAAGGAACTAGTTCCTGGTTTCTCACAGAACTAGTTCCTCAGGACCTATTCCAGGATCGAGACTGTGACCGATATATAATAATATGCGACGGCGACGGTTCAGCCAGCGCGTGTAGCCCGATGCTAGGCAGGACTGGAGAGTGCCAGACGTATGTTATCGGATCCGGACCTAAAGGGACTAAATAAAAGACTAGTTTACGTACGGATCGGCCAGCGCGATTGATGCTAGGCAGGTGTGGGGAGTGCCAGCCGTATGTTAGTGGATCCGGACCTAGAGGAGATAATTAAAAGACTAGTTCACGGGAATCTATTCAGTCGGCCTTGTCTATTGCCACAGCCGGCGTATTTACCACAGAAAATTGTCGCGGATACTGTTTTTGATTTTTAGTTTGTTCTTTAAATATTTTATGGGAATGTTTCACTTTAGGGGTCCCTAAAATTAAGAAATATCTTATAAAACGGAGTAGTTATTCCAAATTTTTACACAAAAACAAAAAGCTTGAAGTGAGGAAAAATCCAATTTTACGTAAAATTTTTGTAATAGTTGCTCTTATTGATTTGTGATATAGTCTTTTAAACTCTGATTTGAGTTTCTTTTTTAATTTTTTTTATCTGCAATAAAACATACCGATATGTTTTTAACATACACAATTACACGTATCGTTATTTTTCGTACATTATAAAAATTATACAGATCATACTGTGAATAGTTCTGACTGACAACGAAACCCATTAGCAAGCAACGGTTAGGTTAGAATGTCAATGTTAGTGGGGAACTACTGTGAACTATTGTGAACTATTGTGAACTAAAGACCTAGTTCAAGGAACTATTCCTCTGGAAGAACTAGAACTAAGGAACTAGTTCCTCCCAAGGGACCAGAATTCCCACCTCTACCCTGTAGGCCAATAAAAAATACTTGCCAAGTACACGAGTCGTGAGAACGCGCCATTAGTCCAATTTATAGTACTTTCGTACTTTGTATTTGTACCATTGACCTAAACAAATTAGTAAAAAAAATCTACGTCACTATTAATTGGTATTTTCTTAAATAGGGACTCTATGTGTTAAATTTTGATCGATTTTCAGTATAGGTATTCAACACTATTTGACAAATTCCTTCTTGTTGTTGGATTCATTGGTTCGGCAATATGCGGTGTCTTACAGCCATTTTTAATGATCCTGTTTGGCGATGTTTCCGGTGTTATTGTGGACTATTCGTCTTTGATAAGTGGCAATTTGACAGAGGATGAAAAGGATATTGCTACTCAAAAAATGCTGGAAGGCACTAAGGATTTTGCCATTATGAGTACTATAGCAGCAGCTGTGGTTATAGTAAGCAGTTATGTTGCTGTGGTGTGTTTTAGTCACAGCGCTATTCGACAGGTACGTGTACTACAGTATGAGTGAAGTATGGCTCCGGATTTGTCTTTACAAGAGGAAACACATTTTTGTTATTGACATTTTGAGAAAAATGCATTCTTCATAAAAACTTTTGCTTTTTCTAAAATGGTTAGAAATTCCATACCGGTTTCCATACCGTTTTAGAGAAAATTAAAAAAAAATACGTGAAAAAATAGTTGGTTTGTTCTCTGGTTTGTTATTGATAGAATCTATCAAAGTCATATTTATTGCTGTTTTAAAATGTTAAAGAAGCACAAAATTTATTTAGATCAATGCGACAGATAGGGTGATAATAGTTATCGGAAAATGTGATACTTTAACAACAACAAAAAATATGAAAATCAAATTTAATAATAACTATCATGATAACTATCTATCAAAGAATGAAATCGAAATTGTATTACCATAGAAACGCCTTCTGATTTTTAGGACTTGAAAAAAATTCAACCATATTTTCATTTTTTTTTTGTAGTTTTCTCTAAAACGGTATGGAAATTTAGAAAAGTATAAACGGGATTAACCATTTTATAGCAAGCAAATTTTTTTATGAAGAATGCATTTCTCTCAAAATGTCAATAATAAAAAAGTTTTTCCTCTTGTAAAGACAATCCGGGGACATAGTGTATATAATTCTATAATACTGTTTTTACATTGATTTACTTTAAACACTTAAGAGTCTTTTTTCCTACTATTTATTGTTAGCGCGGTCCAAACGCAACGACTTATCGTACGATTTGCTTGTATCGACAAAAGTTGAAGATAAAACGAAGCCTGTTGACAGAAAGTTTGAACAAATTCTAGAACTGTCCAAACTCGGAAAACTGAGTTAGAAGTTTGAACTCCTAGGCATAGATTTCGGCTGTTTGACGCTCACAACGATTTGTTTGTGATTTTATGTTAATTTTAGTCAGCTAATCAAGGGAGTACAAATAATGTCTGACCAACGGCAATGTTTACATCATTTGTACAGTGTACTTCATTCAACTGTATATGAGTTTCCCTTGTTTATGGCGTGTAAAATCAAAAGAATAATAATAATAGCTCCCGTATACAGGGTGTTTCAAAAACATGTGGGGAGATTCCTCACGTAAAATTAAGATTTATTTTTCATATCAACATACGTCCGATTCTGCTTTGTTTCGTAGCTACTGGGTGTTAAAGTCTTAATATTTTTTCGATTTATTATAATTTTCTTCCAAGTATTTTTAGAATTTAGCATTAAATTTTGAGGGTAAAAGTTACTATAAATGCGACATATTTAAAGCTAAAAATGGGTCGACATATTCACCAGGGACGTGCATAAGGATTATCAATGGAATATTTTTCTAAAAAAACATGTACGCCACTGATTTTTTTCCCTTGTTAGCGAAATAGCGTACTTGTCTCTAGCCGTACCGTGCTACTCTCCAGCTCCAACCCACAGTTCCCACCAAATTTTTACCCTCAAAATTTCATTCGAATCACTAAAAGACCTTGAAAGAAAATTATAATAAATTGAAAGATGTTAATACTCCTCAGAGAGGAATCTCCCCATGAGAGATAGCACATGTCTTTTGAAACACCCTGTATAGCATTTAACGCCTTGGGAGTAGCAAGGTACAGCTTGCCATGCTAGAAGAAGAATACAGTGAGAGGGAAAATAAAAATTAGACCTACGAGGTAGTAGTGAAAAGTTCAAGAAGGTGGATCCTGAAGCGACTAAGGATACAATAACAAAAAAAAAATAATTCACTTAGGACTGTTTACAATGTTTACAGAAATGAACTATCAAAATCTTAATAAATCTATTTGTTCTGGTGTTGGAGATGAAGCTATTTATAAGCCGTCTGTATCGTATTTAATAAGACACCCCAAGAAATTCTAGTAGAGATGTTAAGACGTTTTACTTACCTTTTTTTAACTTATTTAAACAAATAGCAAAAACAATCCACAACACACGATGATATGAAGGAATACAAAAAACTGAACGACAGGTCGTTAAAATGTAGATACAAGCTAGCCTCTAGGTTTTATCAGCAACGTTTTGTCGACGCAAATCGTACGACGAGTCATTGCGTGTGGACCACCCTTTACAATCGGTTGGGATTTTCATTCTACTCAAAATGCGAGAGTTAGTTAGATTTTTCACCATTTACAAAAAATGATAAATTAGATAAAAGCTTGGATAAAAACAAAATTAAATAACTTGTTAAATTATTTTAATTTTTTAGACATTCAAAATGCGAAAGCATTTTTTTGAAAAAGTTTTGTATCAAGACGTTTCCTGGTACGATGTGAACCAGACAGGAGATTTTGCCAGTATTATAACGGAGTAAGTTAATCAAAATTTTAAATGACGTGGACTATTGAAATTTGAAATTGTTTTCGCGAATACATCTATTGTTAACTCTCTAATCGATTGACTTTTATGTAATATTTTTAATGTAATAGTAGTGTTTTGGTTTTGTTTGATTAACAAGGTCAATTTAAACTCGTTTATTTTAATAGTATCCATTGTGTTCTAAAGACATTGTTTGAGAAAAGGATACTATGCTTGTGATATTGCTTTTTAATCGCTGGATTTTGTTAGAGAGGGGAAGCAATACCATACTCCTATTGAGAGGCTCCACTCGATGGTCGCCTATTTAGAATAATATACAAAAAAATCTTATTGGTATTTCGCCGCTGATAGAAAATCTACAAAATAAAATAGTTATTTTTTGTAAACACTGCAGCGTGAATCCAACGGAGACTAATTGTCAGCAGTGGCTTACTGATGAACAAATTTGCCTAACGGATAAAAAGATGCTTAACGTTTCGGAAAGTATGTCTCTTTCCGTCGTCGGAAGCAAAAAAAAACAAAGAACAAAGAAAAATACTATTTAAAATACACACACCGGAAAAATCTAGGGATATAATTTTATTAAAGTTAAAAATAAATGTTTTGAATAAACAACCACATATTTGTAGGCCGATTCTTTCTACTTCGATTGAAACGAAGTAGTCACACTAGTTATTTCTAAATTTTGGATATTTGCAGAAGTGTTGTGCATTTTTTGTCAAATGTATAAAAGCACCTAGCATCAGTTGTTCGAATTTAACCTGTACTGGCTGTGTTTTTATGATAACTGGCCAGAATTCATTCATATGGCCAGAATTCATTCATAACTCTGTTTAGTATTAAACGACATTATGGAGCGTAGACATCTTAACAGAGACGAAATGCTAAGGGCCATGGGTATGCTCGAAGCTGGAATGCGCCAAATCGACGTCGCTAGAGCATTAAATACAACGCAAAGTGTAATATCGCGATTAAGTGCACGCTACCGTGAAAGTGGTGATGTTGCTGAAAGGCACACAGGGCGACATCGCATTACTACCCCTCAGTAAGATCATTTTTTACAATTAAATGCTCGACGCCGACCGACTCTTACAGCACCAGAGCTTAGTGTAATTCTCCAGGAAACACATAATGTAACCGTTAGTTCTGACACTGTTCGCAATAGATTAAGGAAGGTAACTTAAGAAGCAGACGTCCCTGGAGAGCTCAACCCTTAACGAGAGGAAATCGAGAGGTACGATATTTGTGGGCTCAAGATCATGTTCAGTGGTCGAATGAACAATGGGCCAATGTTCTCTTCACGGATGAGTCAAGCTTTGGAATTCATCTGGATTCGAGAAGGCTTAGGGTATGGAGAGAACCGGGAAATCTTATTCGGTTGGATCATGTTCAGGAAGTGCACCCTTATCAAGGTGGAATAGTTATGGTCTGGGGAGGAGTCCAGTTAGGCCGAAAAACCGATCTCGTTTTTCTTGAAAGGTTTCTAACAGGAATCACATATCGTGATTTAATTTTTGAGCCTGTCATGTTACCATATGCCAATGATTTTGGGAAACTTCATTCTCATGCATGACAATGCACGGCCTCATACAGCCAGAGTGGTAAGTGAGTTTATCAATGCTCATCAATTAAACATCTTACCCTGGCCGGCACAATCTCCTGACCTCAACCCCATCGAGCACGTATTGGACGCGGTCCAAGAAGAATTTTGAGAATGGGTATGCCTCGTGAAACTCGTAGGGATCTGGTTCGGGCCGTGAATGCAGCGTGGCAGGCTGTACCTCAAGAAGAGATCGACAACCTGATCAGGAGCATGGAGAGACGATGTAGGGCTGTAATGAACAGTAGAGGAGGTCATACCCTTTATTAAGTAAAAATGGTTTTATCTTTTTTTTTAATTCACAGTTTAGAATTAAAAAAAATGTGTGTATTTTTTTGAGTTCAATAAAAATCAAGGCAAATTTGAAAAATTCGGTAAATTTCGCGTTTTTATTTCCAATACGTCCTGTAAACTATTTGTTTATTTTAATTTTATTATATCAGAAATGCAAATAATAAAATTACTGACGATGGCTGGATAAAATTGTAATATCCCTAGACTTTTCCGGTGTGTGTATTTAAATGTAACTATTCGAGAACACTTCAGTTTTTTTAAAACAGATACGTCTACAAAACCAGTTGATGATCTGTTAAAATGACATTATATCAAGTTAAACTTCAAAGTTAACAAAGAAATCTAGACCCTTAAATCTTCGAATTAAAGAACATAAAGATTTTATTTAAGAAAAGGCGGCTTTCACAAATTTAAGATTTGTCAGCATTCATGGGACACAGGGCACAGAATAGATTTTATGCAAAAATTAATAACTTAAAATTTTTTTTTGTCCGTTAGGCCAATTTGTTCATTAGTAAGCCACTGCTGACAATGCGGTCTTTGAATAAGAAGACTAGGGAAGGAGCATAATGCTATCCATGTATTCATGCATGATGGGCGGAAAAACGACTCTAGTGTGGGGATCCTTGACAGTTCTGTTTGACGATTCATTTGACACATTTGAATTTGATTTGAAATTTTGTGGATTTGTCAGTCTTTACGGAGCTTATTTTATGTTATTTATTATTTATTCTACTACTGATAGTAGGTAGTAAAGGTAGTAAATCTAGATGGAAATTGTGGCAGAACTTAAATTAACAGTGACACTATCGCGATTTATCGAAAAAGACTCTAAAATAGTTGGTTGTGTAGCGTGCGGTAGATCTCGGCAAAAATCGAGTGAAATAATGGAACAACTTTTCGCTAGTAAGTGACTATATAATATAAATACGTGTAGTAAACCGATCGTTTATGAAATTCACTTAAATTAACTAATTATACATTTTTTCTTGCATTTTTGCTTTTATTTACTACCTGTCAAAGATTAGATGTCAAAGAATTTAGATACGTCAATTTGACTTACCTGCCTCAGTAGCGTATCGGATGTTTGTGTTAATAAATAATTATTAAAACTTATCTATTTTTATTATAATAATATGTTTTTATAACAATTTTAGATAACTACCAACATTTATTTACAACGTAAAATAAAAAAAAAATGATTGAGTCTACCCCACGTCTACCCTACATCATAGTTTTACATTTTTTAAATAAAATTAGAACGGCACTGATAAACCGGAATTTAAGTCGACCATATTTGAGTCCCATCGCGGTGGACCTAAGATTTTTGATATGGTCCTTCCTTAGTCTGTGTCTTCTTATGTCTGTGTCTTCTTATTCAAAGATTACGGTGTATAGTCTGTGAAACGAATAACTTTGAATTTGACAGTTCCCGCGGGCTTTTCTAGTGTTAATTTTATTGGGTTAGCAACTTGCGGCCATGATGAAGCAATGCCGTCTTTAATAGAACAGCCTAGGGGCGAGATTTATTACGTCATGCTAGTTAGATACTACTGATTAATAAATATGTTGTAGAACACAAGTAAAATATAATTATTCCTCGCATTTTTGGTTTGTATTTTAAAAATGATATAGTTTATATGAAATATACATAATATACAGTTAATAAATACAATATATACCTATTTATAGTAATAAATACAAATGCAGCAAATGTTTTACAATATACAAATAATAAATAGGTACATAAGATATCTACATTGACTAATGCTGAAATCGTACTCCATAGTCAATGTAGATAGTTTTAGTGTTAAGAATAATAATTTTAAAAAATATGTGGTCATCTTTTGACAAGTTTATATTAGTTTATTAATTGCAGTAAACATTATGTGGTGTGTGGTGTGAATATTTTATATGTAATTTTTTGGATTATATTCGACACTATTTTTTTCATATGACACAACACTGATGAAGGCTATAATGTTAGCCGGAAGGTTTAGCCCAAACCAAATAAAAATAATGAAAAACCAAATGAAAACTTAATTAGCGTTTTTCCCGAAATCCCAAGAAAATCAAAAATTTTAGAATAATTTTATATATATTATAAAATGATCTCAGCCATCTTTATTTCATAGCCTTTTTTCTATGATATTGTATTATTTGCAAATATAATTTTTTGAACATTTATACTTGCAAAATATACATAAAAATTTTGTGAATGCAAATAATAATACATCACTATTAGTAGATATTGAATGTTTTTTGTTAAATTAGATCGATTTTCAAACCACAAAATTTAAAATATATTTTACATTTTACCCATTATCGTATGTACCTATTCATTATTTGTATATTGTAAAACATTTGCTGCATTTGTATGATTCATAATTTATTTGCCAAAGTATTTATTACTATAAATAGGTGTATATATTGTATTTATTAACTGTATATTATGTATATTTCATGTAAACTATATCATTTTTAAAATACAAACCAAAAATACGAGGAAGAATTATGTTTTCGATGTATTCTACAACATATTTTTTAATACGTAGTATCTAACTAGTGTGACGTCATAAATCTCACTCTAAGGCTGTCCTATTAGAAACGACATTGGTCTGATATTTAGAAATGTCAAAAGCTGATGACATTTTACTTTTGACAATTATGACATTTCGTGTTGATTTTTGTAAGAGGAGGAAGAACTGTCACCTGTTTTATTATTTTCCTTTTCTATTTCACGAAAGTAAAAAGAGTTACCTATCTGATCCGTTCAGGCACTCAATTTAAAGAATATCAGTAACTTTTTTGATAGAGGGATTTTATATTTGCCATGTTGGTAAAAAATAACGGTCAAAATTCAAAGTTATTCATTTTATAGACTACACTTTCGGGTCTATCGCTCTCAGGGGTCGATTAAGGTTTGCTCTAAGCATTTGCCATAAAATAGCGAGCGATTTGTTACAAAACCATATAAATTATATATCACTGTAATAACAAAACTTCAGTCTATTTCCGTACTGTAACGGAATTTTAATTGTATCTTTATTTTCGAGAAAATTTAGTCCAAACATTATTTCTTATGTTTGATTTATTTAACTTATTCTGTTGTTGTTTGACCACCAAAATCTTAAAAATTAAGAAGTTGTCTAAAAATATGCTACAATACTGACATAGTATAATTCTTTATCTTTAATTTCCTTCTTCATTTGTGTAAAAATACCTAGCCAGTTTTACATAAAACGTTAAATGCTGAACGCTTATTTTGCTACTTTTTCGGACTAGTGAAATGAACTCTTAACGCACAGCAGTGTTTACAAAAAATATCTATTTTATTTTGTAGATTTTCTTTCACTGGCAAAATATCCATAGGGTTTTTTGGATAGATAAATCCGCCACATAGGAATATATATTTTTTAAAATATTTTTTTATTTAAACAAATAAACCGTCTGCGTCTGAAGCGACTGGGACCACAGTTGACACCTGAAAAGATCTAGATTAAACTAAAATGCATAAAATGAGTTTATCCATTTCTGAAGCATTTATGTTTATGCTGTCATGTATACATTAATTACAATTTATATTCTGTGTATTTTTAAGTAACATTCCTAAAATAGAAGATGGAATTGGAGAAAAAGTTGGAATGTTGATATTCTTCCAAAGCACTTTCGTCACAGGTGTTGTATGGGCTTTGATCAAAGGCTGGCAGCTAGCTTTAGTATGCTTAGCCTCTTTTCCACTTCAAACGTTAGTTATGGGAGCTATAGCTTGGGTAAGAATATTAATAATAAAAGATATGAATATAATAAGCAATATACAGGGTGGTCCAAACTGTATTTCGGAAACTTCGGCAGCATCTTCTGCAGATAAAAGTAAGTAAAAAAGTTCGTATAAATGTATGCCCTAAAATGCTTAGTTTCGGAGATACAGGGTGGTACATAATTTCATTCTTATTTCAATTTTTTCAAAATAATTTCTAAACTAATGTAGATGTTTGGATGAAAATTGGTGTCTGGGAATTTTTTGACATGAGAAATTTGATTTTGATGTCAATATGGCTCCTACTTGTATATGGTACCAACTACGTATGTTTTAACTGGTTTGAAGGGTAATAACTTTTCGTCCGTATCTGTATAAAACTAATGAGTAAAAAAATATACATTTACAAAGTTTTTGACGTAAAATGTGTCTTGGCAAAACTCGCTACCTGTTATATATAATAATACCTGTTGTCATAGACTATTTAGTCAACATGTTTGATTAGGTAAAGTATAAGTATTTACTTATTATTGTTTTTATGCCAAAAGTTGAACAGAAACTGTTTTATCAACATTTTTTCGAAGAAAAAATTATGAATAATTTAAAAAAATAAAAAGTTCCCAAATTTGACATTTCTGTCAAATAACTATCTACTCAACACGTTTATTTTTTGTCAATAATGACATGTGTGACTATTTCCATTATAAATAACTTGACGGTTGCTCGTAGCGATTTTCATCAAGAGACATTTTTTACCTAAAGAGTCACGGAAATGTAAATTTTTTCCCTCAGTAGTTTTACGTAGGTACGGACGAAAAGATATTACTCATCAAAACAATTAAAACATCTGTAAGTGGCGCCCTCGACAAGTAAGGGTCATATTTACATCAAAATCAAATTTCTCATGTCAAAAAACTCCCAGACACCAACTTTCATCCAAATATTGACGTTACTTCAGAAATTATTTGGAAAATGTATCCCTGTATCTCCGAAACTAAGCATTTTAGGACAAACATTCATACGAATTTTTTTGTATATTTTTATCTGCAGAATATGCTGCCAAAGTTTCCGGAATACAGTTCAGACCACCTTGTATTATAGTTGAAAAGATGACTTCCATTAGTAGAAACAATATCAGTATTTGTCCGTGAAGTCACTCGAGAACAAGTCTGTATTATAATTCTTTCTGTTTTTTGGTCTTAGTTCTCTGCCAAATATTGCAAACAAGAAATGGCAGCATACAGTGGAGCTGGTTCTGTAGCCGAGGAAGTCCTCAGCTCCATAAGAACTGTCGTTGCTTTCGATGGACAAGACCGAGAAACAAAGCGTTATGAAGTTTACGTTAAAGAAGGTTAATTTTGGAAATGTACTGACATAATTTTAAATCTAAAGACTCTGAATCTTGCAGCGGAAAGTAACAACGTCAAAAGATGCCTTTTTAATGCTCTAAATCAAGGATTTATCTGGTTTCTTGCCTATTCTTGCTACGCTTTGGCCTTTTGGTATGGAGTTGGACTAGTTATTGCCGAAAGATCGTTGCCTGAAAACGAACAAGTTTACACTCCAGGAAATATGATGGGGGTAAGTAATACACACTACTTTAACGGGTTTCTGCCCATACAGGGTGTTACATTTTCTTGTGTTTAATCGTTTTTTTGTTTGTGAGTACAGATACAAAGATGCGGTTTTCACACAACTGTGCTATTTTTTATGAAACCTGATATATACATCCAGATTTTTTCTAGCCTTCTTTTCAACTCTAAAATGTTCTATTTTTTATCTCCTTTGTATCTGGGATATCCAAAAGGTTGAAACTGAGTCTGGTAGAGTTTTTCACGTAGAATCCAGCGGCGTAACCAGTTTTTCGCTGGGAGCTGCAATTTTCGAAACCCTGTATATTCTTTTATTATTTTATTTTCGTTTTTATGATTTTATTTTATGTTTTCTTTCTAAAAATATGATTTACTCTATACTTATTTTCGTTAATAAGGTAAAAAATGCATTATTTAACTTTTTAACATAAATCAGCCAAAGTCAATCAGATAATCAAGAAATTAATCTATAAATCAATAAAAATCAAAGGTTAAAGGAGTATTTTATTTAATCCGATAATTTTGCTTTCCATCGTGTTATCTTTATAAACTGCACTGAAATTGAATTTGTGTACCTTTTAGAGAACACCGTCAGTCGGTTAGAATTATTGATATTTTTAATGGACTTATGCAATAATAATTCTACAAATAGAAACTAGCGTGGAATAGCCAATACCCATAATTTGACGTCGAATTGCATTGTTTTTTTTTATTACCTAATTTAAACCGGCCAGCTATGTTATAAAGTTAAATAATGCATTTTTTACTTTGTTTATGGAAGTAAGTATAGAGTATATTATATTTTAGAAAGCTCATAACAAGGCAGATAAAATAAAAAAATAATATACGGGCCGTTTCATTAAAAAAAAGTTAGGATCATATTTGAATAATGACAGTTCCTAGCGAGTTCCGACGTGAAAAACTCTATGATATCCAATTTCCCCCTTTTCCTTAAAAATGCAACAATTTATACTTTGCCCTGTATATCTAGAAATAAGAGGATTAGGACGAATTTGTGTGTAGCATCTTTAGTTTCATAAAAAAGTGGCATAGTGATGTGAAAACCGCATCTTTGTAGCTCTACTCATAAACGAGAAACCCTGTAAAACGGACGAAAATGGGACACCCGGTACATATTTTCATTATGTTGATAATCATATTGAGAGTAATAATTGTATTATATGTATTAGATACCTAGATATAACATTTTAAAACAACAAAAAACATTACGTTAATTAAAATTCTATGAATTACAATCTATCAAATAATGAAAACGAAGTGATATTACCATTGAAACGCGTTTTAATTTTTTGGAAAAATTCAACCATATTTTCATGTTTTTCTTAAACTTCTCTAAAACGGTATGGAAATTTGGAAATGTATAACGGGATTAACCATTTTAGAACAAGCAAAAATTTTTATGAAGAATGCATTTTTCCCAAAATGTAAATAATAAAAAAGTTTATCCTCTTGTAAAGAAAATCCGGGGACATACTGTGTATATACTCTTGGAGTTTTTGCGAAATTAATTGCTTATGGCGATTCTTTTCCAGGTATTTTTCTGTACACTTATTGCCACATGGAATTTTGGTAGTGCCGGTCCTTACCTGGAAGTCTTTGGAATGGCTCGTGGAGCTGCTTATAAAGTGTTCAACATTTTGGATAGCCAGCCCAGCATGCATCGCCAAAACAACCTAGGCAAAAGGCCAGTCTTCGTTTCGGACATTGTGTTCAAAAACATCCGCTTCAAGTATCCAGCCAGACCAGATGTGCAGGTATTTTATTACTTGATTACGTCATGATAAAGAGTCCTATAACAGAGCATCGGGAATCTGTATCATCTATAATAAAAAAAAACTTAGGAATTTTGTAGAAGTACAATACTCTTAGGTTGTATTTCAGGGAAATATTTTAACTTCTGCTTCAAAATTCTACGCCAAATTTTCTAAAACATAAAATATTTTTTCTTTGTTATTTTTTGAAATGGAATACTCCATTTGAAATGGTATATTATCGTTTGAAGTTTGAACCGTATTTAAACAATTCAGTTTTAACCATTTATTTGAATATTATTACAACTTATTTAATAATTTCTATTGTATTTTTTCAGGTCTTATCCAACATAAATTTGGAAATAAGTTTTGGGGAAACCGTTGCTTTGGTTGGACACTCAGGTTCAGGAAAATCTACTTTAGTACAATTATTGCAAAGATTCTACGATCCAACATCTGGATATGTAAGGACAATAATATTTCTATTCAATATCTGGCTCGTAATATTCATCTAACCCTGACTAATTATCAGCCAAACATAACCTTTAATTAGTAATTTTGGATTTTAAGATTATCTTACAACATTTAAATGAAACAATAAAAAATATTCCAATTAAAGACAATTTGGAGTTGATTTTCATTCTCTTTAAAAAAATTTAGTTCTATTTACTGTTGGACATTTCCATGTCTCTAACAACAAATTGTCCTTGAACAATAAAATTCCGACTTTAATTTTTATCTATAATTTATTATTGACGCAAATGCCTATCAGTAGTTATGGTTAATTGAAAAATATTTAATTTCTTTGTTTCTTTTGTTGATTGTTTAAAATTAAGTTTTGCGAAAATAGTTATTATAACTGAGTATCGAATTTTTCGAATTCTTGTACTCTTTTTTTTTCTATCTCATTTATACCGGGTGCGTCTTGAAAGTGGCTCACTTCTATAACTTTTTTATTTTTTCAGATAAAAATACGAGATTTGGTATGTTAATATGTGACATAAATTAGGTTTGATTGACGTATTCAATTGTTTTTGGTTACTTCCTGTTTCACCGGAAATGGCTACAACTTTTGATTTTTAAATGGCACCTTCGGTATATTTTTACTTTATTCGATAGAAAATGACACTCTGAATAGAATGACGTATCATATGTCAACTTTTGACATTTTCGCTTAAAAACAAATCGTATTTTAAATTTCAATCTAGAGTGCCATGGCTGTGTTAAAAACATTAATTGTCAATCAAAGAACCTTGGAAAAATAATTTTCATCGTCTAATATTTTTCGTGTTTCGTGTCTTGTTTAATCATATCTCAATTTTTTTCAAATGGAACAAGGGTGGCTCATTAGCATATTTAGAAAAAAACATTTTTATACGAATAATTTGTACCACACACTTGGTATTTCGAGTCAAATTTTCGTTATAAACCGCATGTTACAATTTTAAAAAACCCATATGCGAAAATGTCAAAAATTGACATACGATATGTCATTCTATTCAGAATGTCATTCTCTATCGAATAAAGTAGAAATATACCAAGGGAGTCATTTAAAAATCAAAATTTGTAGTCGTTTCCGGTGAAACAGGAAGTGACCAAAAACAATTGAATACGTCAATCAATCCTAATTTATGTCATATACCAAATCTCATTTCTTTATCTGAAAAAATAAAAAAAAGTTATAGGGGTGAGCCACTTTTGAGACGCACCCGGTATATTTTATTAAATTATTAAAGTCTATAACTTAATTTTTGAAAATTTCCAATCGCTTGCAAAAAGCAACCTGTACGCTGAACAATCATCAAAAAGCATTTATTAAAAACAATCATTAAACATTTATAAAAAAATTGATAAGTCATCACCAATTTTGTGCAACCTTTTATTTTTTAATCTATGTATTTTGTGTCGAATCCCGTATTAGTAGAGGTTTACTGTTCATTGCAGAACTTTCTACATTATGCATATTAAGTGAATCAAAATCTTAAGATTTGATATAACCTAAAATTGTTCTTCATCAAAGGATAGAAAAATTTAATGTATTTCTATCAGTGGCGAAAACACCAGAATTCTTTTTAAGAAATATTTTACTAGTTAACCAAACAAATTCTGGCTTTTTAAATATAAAAGATACTCTGCCAATTTAGAATTAGAAATTACTATTTTCTTAGATTACCATTGACGGTGTCGATTTAAAAGATGTCAACTTGAATTACTTACGCCAAAATGTTGGCGTTGTTAGTCAAGAACCTTCTCTATTTGCCACATCCATAGCCGAAAATATTCGTTATGGTAAACTAAACGCCACGTTAGATGAAATTGGTAAGCGAAACAAGTATTTTTTCAAACAAGTATTTTTTCAAATAGTTTATTTTTTGTATTTCTCCTCATCTTTTATATCAATTTTTAGTTGCAGCTGCAAAAAAAGCTAATGCGCACAAGTTTATTTGCAAACTTCCTCATGGATATCAAACTGTAATAGGAGAACGAGGAGCTCAGCTATCCGGTGGCCAAAAACAGCGCATCGCTATTGCTAGAGCTTTGATAAAAGAACCAAATTTACTTATTTTGGACGAAGCTACCTCAGCTTTGGATACTGCTAGTGAATTGGAAGTCCAAGCAGCTTTGGATGCAGTAAATATTTTAATATTTTCTTACAGATTTTTTAGGTTATATCCATCTATTTTATTTACTAAAATACTAAATTATTTTTTATTATTTATAAATAGTGTTTTTAGGGTGGTTTAAAGAATCTTTTTTATTTTATATAGATTTTCAGTCTACCTGTATAGGACAAAAATATCTTACACATCTTTATCATCATAGAATTAATTTAGGAACAGTAGTCTGAAGAATACCGGATGCGTCTCAAAAGTGGATTACACCTATAACATTTTTATTTGTTTATAACTTTTTTATCACACCTATAACTTTTGGTATGTTAGTATATGACATAAATTAGGATTGATTGGTGTATTCAATTGTTTTTGGTCACTTCCTGTTTCACCGGAAATGATTACAACTTTTGATTTTTAAATGGCACCCTCGGTATTTTTTTTACTTTATTCGATAGAAAATGACATTCTGAATAGAATGACATATCATATGTCAACTTTTGACATTCTCGCTTAAAATGAAATTGTATTTTAAAATTCAATCTAGAGTGCCATGGCTATGTTAAAAACACTAATTCTTCATCAAGGAGCCTTGGAAAAATAGATTTGATCGTTTATAGTTTTTAGTGTCTTGTCCTGGCCAGTTAGAACATGCTCAAATCGTATTTTTAATCATATCTCAATTTTTTCAAATGGAACGAGGGTGGCTCATTAGCATATTTGGAAAAAGCATTTTTTTACGGATAATTTGATACCACACACTTGGTATTTCGAGTCAAATTTTCGTTACGAACCGCAAGTTATAATTTGAAATAAACCATATGCGAAAATGTCGAAAGTTGACACATGGTATGTCATTCTATTCAGAGTGACATTTTCTATCGAATAAAGTTAAAAAATACCGGGGATGTCATTTAAAAATCAAAAGTAGTAGTCATTTCCCTTGAAACCGGAAGTGACCGAAAACAATTGAAGACGTCAATCAATCCTAATTTATGCCATACACTAACATACCAAATCTCGTTTTTTAACTAAAAAAATAAAAAAGTTATAATGGTGAGCCACTTTTGAGACTCAGCTCATCTTTAAAATTATTTCTAATTAAAAATATTTATGTTTAATCGTAGATCAGTGGAGAGTGTACAAAAATTATTGTGGCACATAGATTATCGACTATACGAAACGCAGATAGGATTATTGTATTTGACAAAGGACAGATTGTAGAGGAAGGGTCTCATACAAAGCTGATGGAAGCGAAAGGAGTATATCATAATATGATTAATTCACAAGGCTATACGGAATTGAATAGTGGAGGTATTGTTTATATGTTTACTAATACAGCTATTATTTTATATCCTAGATTTTAGACTATTGTAAGCTCTATTTCATAGTTTAGTATTAATTGGTATGTAAAAAAAGACACAACAAAAATTTAAAACAAAATGTGAATCAGAGTTTGGCAAATTATGTATTATTATTTATTACTATGGAGTACTTGGCCACTGTGTTTTTCAACCGAGCAATAAATTTGTAACAACTTTAATTTCGGCAATATTTTATATAAATATTGAAACATCGTATGATCGAAATATTTTTTTTTGAATATAAGTAAGTGCGAATCAGTGTTAACAGAATTATGTATAATTATTTTTTACTGCAGAGAATTTTTATGCTTTATTCCAGTGAAAGATATTTAATTAAGTTCTTTAAATCCATCACTTGATTTTTTTTGTATTTAACTACTGTGACAGATTATGAACTTTTGAATAATAGCGATATGTCAAATAATGTGCTGACTGGCCAGTAATTTATACAGGGTGTTTCAAAAAACAGGTGCCATCCCTGGGGGGGGGGCAGATTCCTCACCTAAAAATAAGAATTATTTTTCATATCAACATAGGTCCGATTCTGCTTTGTTTGGTTTGGTTTGGGTGCAAATTTTGAGGGCAAAAGTTACTGTAAGTGCTACATATTTTAATGCTAAAAAGTGTCGATAAATTCATAAGGGCGTGCCGAGGGGTGTCTCGCTCGGGTAAAAAATATACACGTACTGCCAAAATATCCTTCCACTGCTAAGCGACTGCCAATGACTATGAAGAAGACTGCTTATGACTGCCATGTAATTATTATAGGCGACTGCCATAAGACTGCCAATGACTGCCAGCGACTGCCAAGAAAATGTACATCTAATTCCAATAGTGAGACACCCCTCGGGACGTGCATATGGGTTATCACTGGAATATTTATCAAAAAAACATGTACGTCACTGACTTTTTTCTTCGTTTAATACCAATTAGAAGTTATCTCTTGATATTTTGTCGAATTCGGCCTCCTTGATGAACACAATTTTATTAATCACAATTAATAAGATTAAAATAAAATTAATAAATTATATATCTCACCTAACTTATTATTAAATATTATTATTACCGTATGATCGAAAAAAAATGGCGTCCAGTTGGCTTGGAAATGCCGATCGATGACATTTCCCATATAATTTTACATATAAAATGACAGCGATTTTCATATCATAGCCATCGCCGACGCCGTTTTTATTCGATCGTACGGTATTAGTTATTATTACTATTAGTCCAACCTACAGCAATTTGAAATAAAAAATAGTGGTATTTAAGATAATAATTACAAAAACCTAATTTTAAAAAGTTTTAACATCCTGTAACTCTAAAACTATGCATTTTCATACCCATGTTTATAGAAACTTTTTTTCATATTTCTTGATGAGAAATCAATGAGTGCCTACTAATTTCGCACTTTCGCAAGTTAATAATATTATTTTTTTTTAAAGATTGCTATTGGACTTGGATTAAGGCAAATTATTAAAATTGCATTTATCTCATCAAGGAGGCCGTAATCGATAAAATATCAAGAGTCAACTTTTAATCGGCATTAAACTGCTTACACTATTTCGCTAACAAGAGAAAATAAATCAGTGACGTACATGCTTTTTTTAGAAAAATATTCCATTGAAAACTCATATTCACGTCCCTAATGAATTTGTCGACACTTTTTTAGCTTTAAAATATTGCGCATTTATAGTAACCTTTACCCTCAAAATTTAGTTGGAAGAAAATTATAATAAATCAAAAAAATATTAAGACTTTAACACCCTGTAGCTACTAAACAAAGAAGAATCGGACTATGTTGGTATGAAAAATAAATGTTATTTTACGTGAGGAATCCCTCACGGGAGATGACACATGTTTTTTGAAACACCCTGTATAATGGAGCAACAAATTTGTACAACTTATACTTCGAATGGACAAAAAAATTTACAGATATTAATATTATATCCAATAAGACATTAATATAGTTGTTATTAAAAATAATTATTATGTAAGATTAATGCATTATTTTCATATTTATTTTTAGATGACATAAAAAGTAATATCGAGAAATCCGAGACCAGATTTTCGATCTCCACAGACGAGAAAGTTGATATGCCACCTGAAGAAACTGAAAAATCGAAAGAAGAAGCCAACACATCTGGTGTACTATTGAAGATTATCAAAACAAACACTCCTGAGTGGTTATCCATGGTAGTGGGATGTTTGGCATCTCTGGTTAATGGAGCTTCTTTGCCCATGTATGGTTTGATTTTTGGAGATATTTTGGGCGTAAGCAGGAAAATTTTATAATAGACAGTTTATAAAATTTTAATTGATTTTTTAGGTTTTGTCTATTCAGGATATTTTCTCTCTTCGTTATCAGGCGAACTTATACTGCTTGGACTTTCTTTATCTTGGATTAGTGTCTGGAGTAGGAATGTTTTTACAGGTACGTACTACTTTCTATTGTGAACGGTTGTTGAAAATAGAAAAAAAAAGTTATTTAAGGTTTTAATAATGATACTAATAAAAGTGATAATGGACTTAAAACTTTAGTAGACTTGTTAAAAAATAATTCGTGTATAGTCCCCAGATGGTTAGGTTAGGTTAGGTTGACTTTCGTACCACCGAGGCGCAACTATCGATAGTAAAAGGATGGTAAAAGGCTTTTTTTCAGGCAAGCCAAATTATAAAATAGAAAACAAATTTCTTGCAGTATAGGTATATAATAAAATTATACAGGGTTGTTCACCACATACGACACGGAGTATTGTAGCTAAACGATTAGATTATTGCAAATTGTAAGTTTTGGGTTCGTTGAAGGTCAATTAGAGCTACAATTTAAAAATATTTTTACAAGATACAGAGTGTCCCAAATAAGTAAAAAATATTATAGTTATATTTTTTTAAATGGAACACCCTGTATATTATTCTATTTTTGGATTCTACGATTGAAATAAAGGTAAATTTGACTAAGGTTTATCACACTTAAACCGTACCGTTTTAGAAATATTTTCAATTTTATGAAATTGCAGTAAAAATTTTAAGGCTTTATTTCTCCCAGGGTATCAAAGTTTTTAATACCAAATATTTAGTGAAGATTATTTATTGATCAGATATTGTGTTGCAATAATAAAAATTTTACTACCTTATACAGAGTGTCCAAAAATTTATATTAAATAATTACTAGCTTTAAACGGCAATAACTTGTTTAATTTAAATGGAACACCCTATATATTTTACGTAAATCAGATGCACAATGTAATTGTCTATCAAATTTTATAATACCATTTTTTAACCATCTCTTCAAGTTTTCGTAGAAAATGCATTTTTTTATAATTTAGGCCTCATTTATCACTATACCCATGGAATATTGACATTTCAGATTTTTTTATAGCACCATAATATATATAAAATGTACAGGTGGTAAATATTGCAAGCCCATTGGCATACAAAATAAACTATTTAAATATTTATAAAAGAGTATACCAATTAAATATACCATCATTATTTCCTACCAAAAACACAAAAAATTAGTTAATTACATACTTATAAATTGTTTTAATTAAAAAATTATTCTAAATAAATGTGGATTTGGCTCAGAAATCAATATAATAATAAGTCATAAAAATGAACGTGTGTTTTTATAAATAAACATTCGTTAATAAATGAAGTAAAATCTATAAGGTGTTGCTTTTTACCACACTGTCTAATACACACACAAAATTCAATTTTTTAGTATTTGGAGCAATTATTACTACAACGTAAACAGTCAAATAATGTAGTTTGAATACTGGGATCATATTAATCGGTCCTCTTTAACAAAAAATATTTAAACAGTTTTTTTATTTTTTAATTAAATAAGCGAACTAGATATATCGACAATATTAGTATCTGTACCCTTTGAAAATTTGTTATATCTTTAAAAATAAGCTAAAATGTCAATATTCCATGGGTATAGCGATAAATGAGGTCTAAATTATAAGAAAATGCATTTTCTATGAAAACTTGAAGAGGTGGGTAAAAAATGGAACAATACAATTTGATAGACAATTACATTGTGCATCTGATTCGCGTAAAATATATAGGGTGTTCTATTTAAATTAAACAAGTTATTGCCGCTTAAAGCTAGTAATTATTTAATATAAATTTTTGGACACTCTGTATAAGGTAGTAAAATTTTTATTATTGCAACACAATATCTGATCAATAAATAATCTTCAGTAAATATTTAGTATTAAAAACTTTTGATACCCTTGGAGAAATAAAGCCTTAAATTTTTACTGCAATTTCATAAAATTGAAAATATTTCAAAAACGGTAAGGTTTAAGTGTGATAAACCTTAATCAAATTTACCTTTATTTCAATCGTAGAATCTAAAAATAGAATAATATACAGGGTGTTCTATTTAAAAAAATACAACTATAATATTTTTTACTTATTTGGGACACTCTGTATCTTGTAAAAATATTTTTAAATTGTTGCTCTAATAGTCCTTCAACGAACCCAAAACTTACAATTTGTAATAATCTAATCGTTTAGTTACAATACTCCGTGTCGTATGTGGTGAACAACCCTGTATAAGGATTCTTGCCACTTAACTGCTGATATAGAAATTTAATTCTACGCTGTGTTTGTCATAATGTGGACCATTCTAGCTCTCACTACCGGTTTCGGAGCCCTACTCCATCATCAGATAGTTGCGCCTCGGTGGTACGAAAGTACTACCATTGCACGCAGGCCGGTATCTCCCGTTCGGGACTTAATATAACGATACTTTCCGACAAGACGGAATTAACTATCTCTGCGCTGTGGTCATTTTGTGGATCTGCCCAAGCTCACCTGATGATGGAGTAGGGCTCCGAAACCGGCAGTGAGAGCAGGTTGATCCACATTATGACAAACACAGCGTAGAATTAAATTTCTGTATCAGCAGTTAAGTGGCAAGAATCCTTATATAATTTTAAATTCTTATAAAGTGGTCAATATCATTTTGTTGAATATGATGTAAAGATATCGATTTCCAAATTAACCAATTCTCATTTTCCATTCTATCAACCCAATTTTAGATTTTCTTGTAGATCTTTGCATTTGGATATGCTGGAGAAAAACTGACGTACCGCCTAAGAACCAAAATGTTCTCGTCCATGTTACGGCAAGAAATCGGATGGTTTGACAAAAAAGAAAATGGCGTCGGCGCCCTCTGTGCCCAGTTATCTGGCGACGCAGCCAGTGTTCAAGGGGTAAAGTATAATACTTTATATTTATGTAAAATTTTGGTTTTGATTGGTCCTGTGTTTTAGGCTGGGGGTTCTAGGATTGGATTGATCTTAAATTCGGTTTCTACTTTTATCTTATCTACCGTTTTTGGACTTTATTTGGAATGGAGGTTGGCGTTGATAGCAGGAGTGTTCTTTCCAATTCTGTTTTTCTGCATTTACTACGAAAGAATTGCCCTGCAACAGGAAGCTATTTATACTCAAAAATTGTTGGAAAAATCAGCTAAAGTAAGTAAATATGTACGTAACAAATACAGTTTTGGGATCAGATTATATTTTGTTTGCGATAAATAGTCAACATATATTCTTTGTCTAGTACTCTAGCTTTAGTAAATTTAAATACGTCTCACGAAGTGTCCCAGAGAACTACTAGCATCGATATATCAAAGTGTACATTTTGCCTAAGTATTTAACCAAATATCAATTAATATTAATGCTGCTGTGAGCATTTTGGCCAAAATATTATCATGCTCATTTGGTTATTTAATGTAAAGTCTGTTCAACGAGTCAAGGAAGATTTCGACAGACGACATCGAAAAAATGATAAAACACAACATAAATAAAACAAAATATTTTATTAATAATAACACTTGCTGAATTTTACACCTTGAAAGTTGATATAATAACTTTAATCCAAATGTTTTGAAACCAGTGCCATTATCTTTTTGCAGTACGAAAATCTATTATTTATCTATCGTGTGATTCGTTCGTTATTTTAGTCGTTATTTTATAGCTACTCCACTTTTTAGTACCATATACAAGATGGTAAATTTTATTGATGGTAACTTTATTGGTGTATAAAACTCTCTGTTTGGGCATCGAATATTAACTATACAGGGTGCTACAAATTCGAGGTACGAGCATTGGTATCTCGGAAATCGTAATAGATACGAAGATGGTTAAATTGGGGCAAAGTTGCGCCTTGGGCTGTTCACCAAGGTGCCATCAAAAAAGTTTTAAAAATTTCAAGGATTGCTGAGTTTTGTAAAAAACGTATTTTTTGAATATTAATTTTATTTTTTCCTGTCGTTACTTTTTAGAAAATCAAAGAACTAATTGCACATTCTCATAGCCACTTTATTAGGACTATCTGATAGTATTTTTAGATTTTCAAATTAGCTGATAATTTGTAAGATACAGAGGCCAACTTAATTTATTTAAATACGGACCTGCATTTTTTATTTCAGATTTTGAAAGAACTCAGTCTCTTGAGTACAATGATATGCCGCACTTTATACTTTTTTTGTTTTTGGTACTTTAACAGCAACAAAACTATTTAATTATTATTTAAAAAAATTTAAAGTCCGACTCTGTTTTTTAAATTATTTAATCTGATTAAATTCATTGCAACAATATTGATCAATGCTAATTAACATTGAATAAGGAAAATTGAGTCAATTGAAAGATTCAAATAAATAATATCCAGATCAGCAATTTAAAGATATTATTTTTAACTTTTCTAAAAAATCTTCTTCTTGAAATTTTCACGTACGATCTAACAATTTGCATAATATTAATCGTAGTTATTATAAATAAATTAACTTCTACAAACTAGTTTCTAATGCTTTACATAGTCTATATCAGCGGTCGCCAACCTCTTCAATGTGTTGAGCTACTATGTTAATTTTGGAATAAACAGTGAGCTACCCACACGGAAGCCACGTAACGCAACGTAAATGAAATAATCCAGAGTTAATTTATCATTATATGTATTTATTTTACTATTTAACTGGTAATACATAATACATGTCATAGGTACTAATAATAAACTAATAACAAAACAACTAATATTACTAGTACGTACTTGTTCATAGCTACATTCCTACCTACCAAACGAAGGTGTTTGAAAAATAAACACAAACTTTTATCCAGCCACAACGGCATGTCACGTAAGATTTAAAAATTGTTATTAATATCAACAAAAAAGTAACGCACTATCATAAACATAAACATTGAGAAATAAAAAAGCACGTTCAATGGGAAGGCTGACACTCAGACTCATCGATAATTTTTTTAATGTTTGCAGTATAATTTGATACAGCCATTCGAATACAATTATCCAAATGTTCATCTGTAAGTCGATTGCGATATTTGTTCTTAATAAACTTCATATTGGAAAAAGAAGATTCACACAAATAGGTTGAACTGAATAATGCTTTCACTTTCAAGGCAACACGGCATAGAACTGAATATTTGTCTTTGCTTACAATAGACCAGATACATTTGGTACTTGAGACTAACGATTTTAAGGCTAAATCATTTTGAAACTCAATTACTTCCATTTCTGTTGCAGCGATGTCTTCGCCAAAGTTCTGCATAACACAAGTTGCAAACTGTTGGATATCAATTTCCATAAAGGGTGAACCAACAAACTGCGCTACTAAAGCCATTTCGTCGAAGTCCTTAAAACGATTTTTGAAGTTATTCTTCAAGGTAGAAACTATTTCTACATGATATTTGCTGTCATAGGGTTCTAATGGATTTTGAGATATCTTTTCTGAAAGAATAGGAAAATGCTTGGCATCGCTGTTAATTAGGTTTTGTTCCCAAAACTCCAGCTTTCTGATAAATGCTTTTATATCAGAAATCATTTCCGCTAGTTCTTTGTCTCTCCCCTGAAGCTGCAAATTAAGTTCGTTTAATTTCTCTGTAATGTCCACGAGAAAACCAAAATCCCGAAGCCAGATTGAATTTTCTAGTTCCGGAATCGGTTCATCGCGTTGTTTGAAAAATTGAACTATGCCAGATAGGACATCATTAAAACGTTTCAGCACTCGTCCTCTACTTAGCCATCGGACTCCAGAGTGAAGGAGTAGGTCCCCGTATTGACAGTCGACTTCATCGGCCAAAGTTTTGAATAATCTTCTTTGTAATGCTTGAGCTCTAATCTTGTTCACAATTTTTACCACCAGTTTCATAACGTTGTTTAGTTTCAGAAAATTTCCACATAATGCTTGCTGATGGATAATGCAGTGGTAAGAGAGAAATTGCGGAAAAGTTTCATCTTTACGACATAACGCCACCAGACCCTTATCACAACCCACCATAGCTGGAGCGCCATCGGTTGTCAAGCCTACCATTTTCGATATTGGAATTTTCTCGGAAGAAATAATATTTTTTAAATGAGAAAACAACTCCTGTCCAGTAGTGTATCCTTTCAGTGGAATAAACTTCAAAAGATCTTCTTTAATCGTAAAATCACTAAAAACCATCCTGACGAACACGGCCATCTGGGCAGTCTCAACCACATCTGTTGATTCATCCAGTTGAAGTGAAAAATAAACACAGTTATCTAAGTCAGTTCTTAACTGTAAAAAAATATCATTGCTCATTACTTCTACACGTCTCATCACTGTATTAGCAGAAAGTTGCATAGATTTTATAGCTGAAAGTATCTCGTCTTTATTTCTAAAGTTGGCAAATAACGAATCAGCAGCTTCTAAAAACGCCTGTTTTATCATTTCCCCGTCTTCATAAGGTTTCTTTTTTTGTGCAATTATCTGGGACACACGGTACGATGCTTCAGTTGCAGCCTTATTTTTGTCGACTGTTCTTAAAAATATTGATTGTTGTCCGATTAACTGATTTTTTAACTGTTTCAGTTTCTCCTTTCTGGCGACAGAATGTAGTGGGAATGATTTTTCAAAATTAGAATGTACAGTTGTATGATGTCTCTCAATATTTCCTTTTTTAGCAACGGAGACCGAAGTATTACATAACAAACACACATTTTTACCTTTAACTTCTGTAAAAAAGTACTGTTCTTCCCATTCCGAATGAAAGTGGTATGTCTTTACCTTCTTACTACTGCTTGCCATAATATTCTTTTTTGTTGTTCTCTACTAACCCAACCGCTGGACGTTGGTTATGCGTTCAGGTTCAGTTTTAAACTAAGCGCAATGTCGCCGCACCGTGCGTATTTATACCGTTCAAAGCAATCCAGACCGTTCTCTCTCGAACACTAACGCGCTGGTCCGGCCGGTCGGTTCTAGCCGCTTCTAGCTTGATGGCGTCAGCGGCATCGCTCACCGCAACGTTGCCGCTGTTTATGTTTAATATTATGACAATTACATTTTTTTGTGGAATTTTCGGAAGCTTCTCTGATTTTTGCAGTTTGTGTTTTTAAAATTGTGAGAGCTACCAGAATTGCATCCGCGAGCTACCGGTAGCTCGCGATCGACAGGTTGGCGACCGCTGGTCTATATGTTCGAAATGGTTACCACCCTCCTTATTGCACAAATTTATTTTTCGTTCAATTTTATTTATAGCTTTCGAATAGATCCTCTTATACTTTCGAATGCATTTTGTACTCTTCATTGTAACTGCCGAGATGTGTTGAATTCACTTTTTTGTAAAATTTGGACCTGTCGAATTACTTGATATCATCAGACGGTCCAGGTACCTCGCTGGCCATTATACTGCTCTACCATTTCCAATTCATCTTCCGGGGAAATGATTTGATTGTTTATATTACATTTTATTTATATTATTTTTTATTGTTTTATTGCACTTGATTTTCCGTATCCAACCCACGTCACTGTTAAGTTTGAAAGCTTATCAATATTGTAACGATGAATATATTAAATATTAAAAAAAGACAGAGCCGGACTTGAAATTAGTTTAAATAAATTGTGTCCAAGTTTCCAAAACAAAAAAAAATTAAGTGTTGCATATCATTGTACTCAGGAGAACGAGTTCTTTCAAAATCTGAAATAAAAAATGCAGGTCCGTATTTAAAAAAATTAAGTTGGCCTCTATATCTCAAAAATTATCAGCTAATTTGAAAACATAAAAATACTATCAGATAGCTCTAATAAAGTGGCAATGAGAATGTGCAATTAGTTTTTTAATTTTCTAAAAAGTGTCTACAGGAAAAAATAAAATTTATTTTCAAAAATATCCGTTTTTTCCAAAAAACTCAGCAATCCTTGAAATTTTTAAAACTTTTTTGCTGGCATCTTGGTGAACATCCCCAAAGCGCATCTTTGCCCCAATTTAACCATGTTCGTATCTATTACGGTTACCGAGTTATCAATGCTCGTACCTCGAATTTGTAGCACCCTGTATACTGTGCTTTGGGCCTACAATTATTTTTCTCTTGATTTTTCATCCACTTACCTTCAAAAGACACAAAACACACGTAATAACACGAATCAAAATGCATCATCTTCCAAAACGCAGGTTATTTCATAAAGTATACCTAATCTCTTCGTAAAAAGCATTTGAAATAGCATTTTAAATAATAGCTTTCCAATAGGGAAATACTAATGAATGAATACTGATTGCTATATTTACTTGTACATATTTTAGATTGCCGTTGAAGCTATAGACAACATGAAAACTGTAAAGTCCCTGGGCTGCGAAAATATATTCTGCGAATATTACGTAAAAGAACTGATACATTGTAAGAAAATTGGTTTCAGAAGGTCACATGTGAGGGCATTTATTTTAGGTACGTTTTGATTTACATATTATATTGATGGCACTATGATAGGTCCCGTACAGCTGAAAAAAGAGCGTCAAGTTGGCTGGAAATAACAATCGATGATAGTCATCATCATATAATATTGCATATAAAATTTCATCGATCGTTATTTCTAAATCAACTCACAAGTCATTTTTTTATTGCATGGAACATGATTAATATCCAGAAGTATACGGGGAGTCCCATGTTGAGCTTGCATCTAGCTTCCCTTAAGCTTCATTCAGAACCTCGCAATTAGTAGAATAAATTAGTAGTTTCGATTAGCCTAGAAGTTTGTTTCTTTAATTTCAATGTTACTAATTATACTTCAATCTTCCATAGCGAGTTACGTTTTAAAAAATATTCAATAATTATTATTTCAAGGAATTTATTACGAGTAGAAAAAATATTATGCTGGGTTGGCGTTGGTTTCTATGTAATTTGACAAATAAATAAAGCTGTCTCTTTAGTTGTCAGTTTTGAGTCAATATTTTTTAATTCTCTTTCGTGTTGATTGCTTATTGAATTGGAGCCAGAAATGGCTCAAAACGAAATAAGTAAATTACCAACAGATATTCAGGCTGAGGCGACAAACACCATATCCAAACTACTTCCATTTAAATCCCGAATAACTTATGAAAAGGAATACAAAAATTTTCAAAAATGGAAGCAATTGAAAAACGTGCGAGAAGAAATAAAGTTTGTAACCTATCCTTCTGTTAAAGTATCATTTAATCTACCCTTGCGATTAAAGTAGTATTTTATCTACTATTTTTGATAGATATAAGGCAATTTTAACAGTTGCTATGGATAAAAAAGCATAAAGTGTAATTAAAACCATTAATTTATTCCACTAATTTCGAGGTTCTGAATGAAGCCTTAACAGTTGATATTTGACTTTTAATTTGTTTGAGTTAAATTTCATCTTTTACATTCTTCTGAACTGTTTTTAGTTTTTTTATGTGTCATAATTTAATAATTAGTAGGTAGTTAGTTTAGCCTATTTTCCTATTTGTTTAGTATTTTAATCATGGCTGGTTGTACTCTAATATATTAAGAGTAATGGTGGGTTTAAACAGAAAAATAAAATCAAATAAGAAAAACAAATAAATAAGAAATTATTATTTGTAAACTTTCAAACAGCTAAATAAAAGCTGTAATAAGAAATCTATCTATCTATCTATTCAGCCTCTTCGGTCCATCGTTGGACATAGACCTCCCCCAATCTCTTCCACCCTTCCCTCTCTGTCGCCGTGCTCATCCATCTTGTGCCTGCATGTTTCCTCAGATCGTCCGCCCATCTCATCTGGGGTCTTCCTCTACTTCTTCTATTCTCCCAGGTCATCCTTCTATCTGACATTGTGACCGGCAAACTTCCATTTCAATTTTGCTACTTCACTTCTAACATCCCTTATTTTAGTTTTTCCTCTGATCCACTCATTCCTTTTTCTATCTGCAAGCCTTATTGTAGCATTTGTCTAAATAAATAAGAAATACACATTTGCAAATGTCCATTGCGCTGAAGCATTATAAACATTGACTTTAATTATTGTTTACAGATATTTTTCTATTTACGGTATTTTCTGTTTCCTCATCTTGGTAAAAAGATCATTATTCACTTGTAAGATGTATTATGTTATAATCCTAGATCATATATACTTACGTGGATAAGTAAATCACTATGGAAACTGTCCCAAACATATCAACGACTTCCATTTATCTTCTTTTTTTGTTGCACACGCGGTGCTTCTACTCTGTCTATCCTTGTCGAGGACCTATCGCCCACGCGTCAAATTTGAACATTAATTTTAAAAATTTAATTTGTAAAATGCATATATTTGAACAATAATTGAATGTTACTGTCACAAAAATTAAATTAAATAAAAAATAAATTAGCCACTCCGTACGAATATCAATATTCTTAGGAAATCTAACCAGAAAGTATGCATGTGGTTTACTATACATAAAAGAACAACTGAATACTTTACTTGCCTGTGAAAAGATAATTCGAGGACATTTATATTATAATTTCAACACACCAAACACTTTCTTGTCATTTTTACGAGTATTTACCCAAAAATTAAAACCCAACGGGTAAAAAATAGAAATATAATTGCACAAACTTAAAATTAACTTCTCACTGAATACACTTGCATCCTTGGCTATATAAAAGCGGTCGATAAAAGAGTAATGAATACAATGTTTAAAATAAAAAACGCAAAAAACAAGCGTCGTTACACAATGGAAATAACATTATGACAAGATTATGACAATATGATGACAATGAAAAGTTGGTTTCCATAACAACGTATAATTTGTACTTTCTAAACCGAATAAAATCTTTGAATAAGAAGACTAAGGAAGGAGCATAATGCTATCCATATATTCATGCATGGTGGGCGGAAAAGCCACCATAAAAGCTCTCTAGGGTGGGGATCCTTGACAGTTCTGTTTGACGATTCATTTGACACATTTGAATTTGATTTGAAATTTTGTGGATTTGTCAATCTTTACGGAGCTTATTTTATGTTATTTATTATTTATTCTACTACTGATAGCTGTATAAAGGTAGTAAATCTAGATGGAAATTGTGGCAGAACTTAAATTAACAGTGACACTATATCGATTTATCGAAAAAGACTCTAAAATAGTTGGTTGTGTAGCGTGCGGTAGATCTCGGCAAAAATTGAGTGAAATAATGGAACAACTTTTCGCTAGTAAGTGACTATATAATATACATATGTGTAGTAAACCGATCATTTATGAAATTCACTTAAATTAACTAAATTATATATTTTTCTTGCATTTTTAGCTTTTATTTATTACTTGTCAAAGATTAGATCATAGATAAATGCAACAAGTTTAGATTGGAAAGCCCGTCAAAATTTTGGGTCGCGAAATTATTTTGGGTCGCGACCGTTATACGCGATCTGGCGCTGCTATAGCGGTCGCTAAGAACAACGGCAAACAAAAACAGAAATAATTTTCTTTTGTCAAAGTCAGAATCTTCAAAAATCATAATAATCTTTCAAAATCTAAACCGCTCTCATTAAAGAAATTCCGAAAAGTGTTTATAACGTACATTTTCAAAGTAATTATTGCTATCTTGTGAGTTTAATTCAAGTTTTATTTACTCCAACCGGTGATAATTGTGAAAAAGTGGCATTAAAAACTTAAAAAGCTGTGCTGTGAACTGTGAACTGTGAACTGCAAAAACCATCGTGGATCATGGCATAACGTCGGTTTCCAGTGTTTCATAGGTATTTCATACATGCGTCCTTATATAAAATAAAGTTTCTTGTATGCAACACACTGTATTTTATTTATAAAATTAAACGAAAATAATAATAAATTTGAATAAACAATATTTGGCGATATAATTCCGGAAAAAGCCGAACCGCTCCGAAATGTTCAAAAGTTTTGGGTCGCGACCGTTGCAAGAATAGCGCCAAATAGTGTTTACATTGTCCTTATGGGCACTTTCCAATCTAAACTTGTTTCATTTATCTATGGATTAGATGTCAAAGAATTTAGATACGTTAATTTGACTTACCTGGTTCAGTAGCGTATCGGATGTTTCTGTTAATAAATACTTATTATAACTTATCTATTTTTATTATAATAATATGTTTTTATAACAATTTTAATAACTACCAACATTTATTCACAACGTAAAATAAAACAACAAATTATTGAGTCTACCCCACGTCTACCCTACATCATAGTTTTACATTTTTTAAATAAAATTAGAACCACACTCATAAACCGGAATTTAAGTCGGCCATATTTGAGGCCCATCGCGGTGTACCTAAGATTTTTGATATGCTCCTTCCTTAGTCTTCTTATTCAAAGGATAAAATTGTAATTATCTTGGAAATACGTGCCACTTTTAATGCGCATGCGTAGTCAGGTCCTCGAGAAAGACAAACCTATTGAATGTTTCATAAGTGCAATAAAGAAGGTTGGAAAATGGCATGTCGTGATGTTGGGGATATATTGTTTAATGCCGTTTAATGCTAAACTTATGGCGTTGGTTTATCCACGTAAGTATATATGATCTAGGGCAAAGATCTAGGGTTATAATACTATAGTAGTATAATTAATTACGCGATATTTTTATGATTAACTATAGATGGCCGTCAATAAACTTATAATCACCATTACTTTCTGACGTCCCCCTGTATGGTTAGAATTTCTGCGCACGTTCACACTCATTCTCTCTACTTTTATATCTCCTGATATCTCTAATAATACCGTTACAGGATGCGCAAGAAGTTTGCAATTTGTTGCTTACGCTGCAGGCATGGTCTATGGAGCGAAAATTTTAAGTTTGGGCGAAGTCGACTCAGGCACTGTGTTTAAGTAGGAAATTTTAGTTTTATTTTTACCTGTACAATATTGATTAGTCATTTTCTAATTTCAGGGTTTTAGAAGTGGTGGTTACCAGTTCGTGGTCTATTGGTAACGCACTATCGTTTTCATCGAATATGCAAAAAGGTCTCGTGGCAGCTTCAAGAATTTTCGCTCTGTTTGAACGAATTCCATCTATAAGAAATTCTTCGAGTTCAATTAAACGTCATTGGGTAAGCCAAATCTGATTATTATAAAACATCTGTCAATTTTTTTTATTATAGAGGGTGTCCCAATATTACGTGGACATAGAGCTACTACGTATTTTTGAAATTGAAATAAATTAATTAGACACAATTTACTTCTATACACAATTATAACAAATATACTGGGTGGCTTGAACAATTTCGTATTTCAGAAACTTCGGAAACACATTCTGCAGATAAAAATAAGTAAAAAAGTTCGTATAAATATATGTCCTAAAACGCTTAGTTTCGGGGATACAGGGTGGAGAAGTTTCATTTTTATTTCAAATTTTTCCAAATAATTTATGAAGTAACGTCAATATTTGGATAAAAATTAGTGTCTGGGAGCTTTTTGACATGAGAAATTTGATTTTGATGTCAATATGTACTTATATAGGGCGCCACCTACATATTTTTTAACTATTTTGAAGAATAATAACTTTTCGTCCGTACCTGTATAAAATTAATGAAATAAAAAAAATATACATTTACGACGTTTTTCACGTAAAAAATGTCTTTTGGTAAAAATCGCTACGAGTGATGATACAATACCTGTCATCGTTGACATAAATTAAACATCTTATCTAAATAGTTATTAGTATCATCTTCAACTAAATAGTTATTAGAGTGAAATATATTTTGTGGTAAAAGTTCAACAGAAACTGTTTTATCATATTTTTTTCGCAGAAAAATTTATGATTACCTAATTTAAAAAAATAAAAATTTCCCAAATTTATTATTTCAGTCAAATAACTATCTACTCAAGTTTATTTTTTGTCAATAATGACATGTATTGACTATTTTCATTCTAAATATCTTGAGAACGGTTGCTCATAGCGATTATTACCAAGATACATTTTTTACATAAAAAAATCACGGAAATGTACATTTTTTCACTCAATAGTACAATATACAGGTACGGATGAAAATTTATTAATCTTTAAAACAGTTAAAAAACATGTAAGTGGCGCCCCCTACAAATGAGTCATATTGACATCAAAATCAAATTTCTCATGTCAAAAAACTCCCTGACACCAATTTTCATCTGAATATTGACGTTACTTCAAAAATTATTTGAAAAAAAATGAAATAAAATTGAAATTTCTACATTCTCCATCTCCGAAACTAAGCATTTTAGGACATACATTTATACGAACTTTTTTACTTATTTTTATCTGCAGAATATGCTGCCGAAGTTTTCGGAATACAGTTGGGACCACCTTGTGTACAGGTCCCATTAAGAATAGCTCTCGACTGTATCTCGGAAAGTATTAGCAGTAGAGCCTACGGAAAAAAATATTTATAACTAAAGGGGCTATGAGAAATTGCTGGAAATTATTTTCACGTTTGTAAAACGGCCGCTAGAGGGCGCAACTGCTATGGAAAATAAGAAAATAGAATTTTTACAGAATTTTGCCTAGATAATGGGTACTATAAATAATAGCTTCATAATCTTCAGTAGTATTTTTGGATTTTTTGTTAGAACCATTTTCCCCTATCTGATAAAATAAAGTGGTGGGGGAAGGTTAGATCTATCTTTATTTAAATGTTAATAACTCCGGACTGGATGATCAGAATCTAACAAACGAGGGCTCGTTTAAAAGAGCGTTTCTTACTCTATATTATACCGTAAAAATAATAATAATAAGGTTTTGAACGTAGACGCTAGGGGCACATTCTTACAATTTAACAAACATAGCGCGTTTTTTCAAAAAAATTAAATACAATAGTATATGTAATTTTAGCTGATAGTAAAGAGTAGTAAAAGCTTAAAAAGTCAGCGAAAACTGCATCTTGATATCTTCTTTCAAACCGAAGATATTAGCAAAATTATAATAAATACCAAAAAATAAGACCTTAATTATTACCTTATTTTTACAACACGGTATCAGTGCCCTCTTGATTATGTCCATTTTAACAAAAAAATAAGATAGAAATAGTTAGTTTATTTTAAAATAGACGAAATACCAGAATACCATAATACCAGATGTATTAATATCTAATAATTAAGATACTAATAACAGTGAACAAGAAACGACGATGATTCAGTGAAGTCATGGTAGGCTTTGGAAAAAAGTTGCTTTTGGCGTAATAGTATAAACGTCAAATTGTTATTAGATCAACATTTTGATAGTCTTTTATCTCTTGATTGCTTTTCAAAATGCCAACAACTTCAACTACTTCAAATAATAAAGGCATTTTGAAAAAGCAATTAAAAGATAAAAAACGCTGCTAAGACTATCAAAATGTTGATCTAATAACAATTTGACGTTTATACTATTACGTCAAAAGCAACTTTTTTCCAAAGCCTACCATGACTTCACTGAATCATCGTTTCTTGTTCACTGTTATTATTATCTTAATTATTAGATATTAATACATCCGGTATTATGGTATTCTGGTATTTCGTCGATTTTAAAATAAACTAACTATTTCTATCTTATTTTTTGGTTAAAATGGGCATAATCTAGAGGGCTACTGATACCGTGTTATAAAAATAAGATAGTGAAGGGCAAATTTTTTCGTATTTATTATATTTTTGGTAATATCTTCGGATTGAAAAAAGATATCAAGATGCGGTTTTCACTGACTTCTTAAACTTTTATTCCTCTTTAAAATCAGCTGAAATTATATATACCATTGTATTTAATTTTTTTGGGAAATCCCGCATTGTTTGTTAAATTGCAAGACAGCGCCCTCTAGCGTCTACTGTTAAATGCATATTATTATTGTTTATATGGTTTTATATAGAGTACGAAACGCTCTTTTAAACGAGCCCTCACTTGTTAGATTCCGGTCATCCAGTCCGAAGTTATTAACATTTAAATAAAAACAGATCTAACCTTCCCCCACCACTTTATTTTAGCAGATAGGGAAAAATGGTTCCGACAAAAAAAGTCCGAAATTTTCTTAAAATTATGAAGCTATTATTCGTAGTAGCCCTTATCTAGGCAGAATTTTGTAAAAATTGCATTTTCTTATTTGCCGTAGCAGTTGCGCCCATAAAATAATAAATACAAGAAGAAGTGTCAAGTCAATGTTAAATTATGGAAACAGCGTGGCTGCCTGGGTAATTAATTTTCAGATATGGCGGCTGGGACATTTGACATGATTTGACATGACAGAGACACTTCATTGACATGACAATTTCAATTTTATGAAATTTATTTCCGTTTCCGGTTTTTAATGGCGGGCTGTTCAGGAGGTTTAAATGAGGGTTAATATACTTTTTACTTTTTCTAGTAGTAAATAATACAACAAAATTACTCAAAAATATTTATTTGGAATTTAGAACAATGTAAATATGCAAATCAACACAATTAAAGAGCTATAAACCCATAAACTACTGTATCAATATCAAAATATTTAAATAACATCAGAGATGCTGTGTTAAAGTGAAATAGTAAAGTAACAATGCACTGACTTACAGAAACTTGAAGATAAATAAATGTTTTCACAGCTTCACGGGCGTAAAACTAACTGGAAGCAAGAAAAAGACAACAGGAACCCACGCAAAACCTGGAATCAAAAAAAAAATATGTAAAAAAAACATAAATATAGGTACATAAGACTGTTGTGAATTAAATCAAACAGGACTTGAATGAAAATAAAATGAATAAAAAATATGATACACATATGATATACATGATATGATATACATCTAATACCTCATTTGTATTTTAAAAATAATCTACATACATAGCATTATTGCTATGAAAATACATAATAGGTACCTATGTGATATGTAATTACGCATTTCTGTTCATCTTGTAGATAATTAATGTAGGCTAATAATAGGTAGTTCAATAATCATAATTTACCTTGTGTAACTTGCTTTCAATTGCTCAAAATCACCGATCAGTCTTTAAAGTAGAGATACGGAAAAATCCTTGGTAAAGAATATCCCAAGATCTTTGGATCTAAAGCTAAAAAAATATAAAAACAGTTAATATATTACCTATTTTTACATATAATATGGCCCATACCTACTACACGCAGAAACGTCGATTTCATCATTTTATTCATGTAATTAATACCATATATACTTTATTAAGGTGTTAACAAGGAACTTTGTATCAAAAAACATCTTTGTACTTATAAATTTCAGCCGAAATATCATAAACAAACTTCCAATCAAATCTAAAACGGCAAAAATTAAAATGGCGCCCGACCTTGCCAGAGGCCTCGGGAGTTGACACATGGCTGACACACAGACAAAAGAAGAGGACGCCGACGTGTATAAAAATGTTCCGTAACTGAAATTGACAGAAATCATATAGAAATATTCAGATTTTTGTCTAGGACAGTCTAGAAGGCCATGCTTTCTGCCTGGGTAAGACCGCGCCAGAACTGTTTCCAATTTTCCGGTTTACTGTCACCCCCCTGGTTGCGCCCTCTAGCGGCCACTCTACAAACTTGAAAATAATTTCCAGCAATTTCTCATGGCCTCTTAGTTATAAATATTTTTTTCCTCGGGTTCTACGACCAATACTTTCCGAGACACAGCCGAGAGCTATTCTTAGTGGGACACCCGGTACTTTAAATCGAATGCCATGTATTATTTTAGCTTAGCTATTATCTTAATGTTTCTTTTAGGAAAATCCAAACGTGGAATACTCCCAAGTATATTTCTCATACCCTACCCGTCCAAATGTGCAGATACTCAATGGTTTCGATTTATCCATTGCCCATGGAAAAACAGTGGCTCTGGTCGGAAGTAGCGGATGTGGAAAATCAACTCTTATCCAACTTCTGATTAGATTTTATGATCCAGATCATGGAGATGTCAGTGTCGAAGGAGAAGATGTTCGATTTTTGGATTTGAAGTGCTTGAGGTTAGCGTTTGTAAGAATATTTTTTCTGTTGGTTGATATGGGGTTTGCTTTCCTTGATATAAGTAGGCTTTAAGTAAAAAACAATCTTTTATTGTCACGGGGTTTTTAACGGGACATTGTCACCTTAGTGAACACCTCAGTAGATTAAAGCTAAGAAACGATGGCGAACGCAGATTCTGTGGGAAATATATGGAAACACCAAAACACCCCATCACTGAGTGCGTCGAGACGACAACCATTCGTGCCATGAACTTTGGAGAAATACCCTCTGTAAAACTGTCTCAGATGGATGGCTTTGCTTTTGTGAAAGCTTTGAGACTGAATGATGGGTTATAACTCAAGAAAGAGAGATATAATAGATCCATACGATCGCGCTGAGGGTCTATTCGGTCTAAAATGTTTATTAAATAGCAAATCTATCTATGATTGATGAGTTTCATCTTTACAATAATTTTCTTGTCCGTTAGGTCTCAATTAGGGATTGTTTCTCAAGAGCCCAACTTATTTGATTTAACAATTGCGGAAAACATCAGCTACGGAGTCAATGACAGACCAACTTCAATGAAGGAAATCGAAGCAGCCGCCAAAGCTGCTAACATCCATAACTTTATCTGTAGTTTACCTCTGGTTTGTTAACAGGGCTTTTACTATAGTATTTTTTTATTTATTATATCTTTTTCAGGGGTATGAGACTAGGCTAGGTAATAAAGGCAAACAGTTATCGGGCGGACAGAAACAAAGAGTAGCTATTGCAAGGGCTTTGATGAGGGATCCAAAAATTCTACTTTTAGACGAAGCTACGTCAGCTCTGGATCACGAAAGTGAAAAAGTAAGTAACATTTTGAAAAATTTGTAAGATTTCGGAATTTATATTAATAACCAGAGTGATGTAAGCACCAAAATTATCACTGATAAAAAAGATGGAAGATGGAAGATGGAAGAAGAATAACAAAAAATTGACGTGATCACAGAAGGGTTTCATTATGGCCAATATGACTTTCAGTTGATCACTGGCATTTAATTTTTAATTTGTTTTCTCCAATTCAAGTTTTGGTAGAATTTTGTTTTAGATTTGTACACTTACATAAAACTAATTATAAAATTATCTAGAAAAATAAGAATAAACCCAAAAAAAATTAAAAAATTAAATTTGTTGAAATAAAAGTGAAAGAAAATTGTTTTAAAATAGTTACTATGATGCCTTTGCCGTCTTTATGATATGAATATTAAAATAATATTTGGGTATACAGTGTAGTCGGAATTGTAATTCAGAAAATTTGAATAATCATGTTAGATTACAGTTGTGGTTTGGAACCTTTGGTGTTACAATAGCAAAATACAAATTCACCACAATACACCAAAATACTTTTGCACTGGACGCGCGTTTAGCTAACTATAACCATCATCAGCAGGTGATTAAAACTAAACTAATATCTACAAATTGAACGTTTATATAGGCGCTCAGTTGGCATTGCCTAGGCGTGGAAGAACTAGCCAAGCAAGTCAAAACCAACCCAGCGTAATAATTAATCATCGAAACCTAGAGCAATAGGAATAAAGAACTGGAAGAAATAGGACCATTATCTCTGTTCATATGATTTTTACATTTACTAATTTTGACGCTCTCATATGCATCTAATTGCCTGTAATTTGACTCTGGTTTTATTAATTTTAAATTGTTAGTATCTATACAATGATCTTTCTTTATCAACAATATGTTGAACAACGCAAGCTTTATCCGGTCTACCATATCTTATCTGAGCGATATGTTCTTTAAGTCTTGTTAATATTGATCTAAACAAAATAAAAACACTAAATCACCACAATACACCAAAACACTTTTAGTTTTACACTCGACGCGCGTTTCGCTAACCATGTTAGCATCATCAGCAGTGTTTGGTGTATTGTGGTGATTTAGTGTTTTTACTTTGCTGTGTAACACCAAAGGTTCCAACCCTCAACTGTAATTAATATTGATCTTCTAGTTTGCCCAATATATAGTTTGCCCCTATATTTCTGATTACAATCTTTACATGAAATCTAATAAATACCCGACCTTTCCAGTGGAGGTGTTTTATCTTTACGATTACTTAATAATTATTGTTGTAATTTATTATTAGCGCTATTCACAAGTTTATAATTGACATTAACGGTATTGAAAAATATTTTGACGTATCTTCCTCCATATGAAAAGTCGAATTTGAAGAAATCGCAAACTTTATCTACTTTTTCTAATTATTTTATCAACTAATGAAGAAGAGTATGTTCATTATGTTCAACACTCAAGACTCATTAGGAATATGTCTGCGTGTAGTGGTATTTTTGGTATAGTTATCAAATTCCATGCAATTAGGTATTAGTACCTATTTCGGATAACTAATACATGTGGAAATGGTAGTCTATCGTTGTTCTCAATTTCATAAGTAAATTTAATGGAAGGAAAACTATTATTTAATTTAGAAATAAAATATCTATGATATTAGAATATGTGTCAAAAACGGAAAATATATCATCCACATACCTAAACCAAACTCTTGGAAAATACTCAAACTAATTTTTAGCCTCTACTTTAAACGTGCTCATGAATAAATTAGCCAAAAATGGAGACAACGGTACCTTCCCGCTTTTCAAAAAAAATTGTTATTAGACTGAAAACAACTTTGTTTCATTCATAGCGATGTAATTGCGATATATTCAATAACAATTTTGTGTTGTCCATTTTTTCTTCAAGTAGCCTGTAAAGTAGAGTATTAGAAAAAAGAAAAGTAAAGAAAGTAAAGTATTGGAACACTTGGGAACAACGAAGATACATCAAAGGAGACCAAAAAAAAAGAAAATATGTTTTTTTTTTCGTCAGATTTACTACGCCTTAAATACTTGCACTTATTTCTGGGATACCCTGTATTATTAGCCATTTTTTAAAATGATGAAAATGCTTGTTTGTAGGTTGTTCAGGAAGCTCTGGACAATGCCAGGCAAGGTAGAACGTGTATCACGATAGCCCACAGGTTAACAACCATTCAAGATGCAGATTTAATTTGTTTTGTAAAGGGGGGACAGGTGGCTGAACTGGGTACACACAATCATCTTTTAAACATAAAAGGTCACTATTACGAGTTCTACAAGTTGCAGTCTGGCCAATCTTAGTTTGTATTTGTGATTAAATAGATGTATGTTAACGTATATAAAGTTTATAAAATCATATAGATTAACTTGTGTTCAAAACAATAAAAAAATATATTTTATTATACAGGGTTGTACGTTTTCAACTTCGCTCTTGTTTTGTTGATGAAATTGATACTTTCGGCAATAATTGAAATTGATAAGAGAAAATTATGAATTGAATTTGATATAAAAGTTTTTCAGTGGTTTAGAAAAAAATATGTTATATTTAACATTTTGTATGTAAGAAACTAATTCATAATATTTGTAAAAATTACTTTTTTTCTTGAAAATATATTTTTTTTAAGTTTTGTATCTGTACTACTTAGTATAGATTTGTCTAGAATAGCAAAATATCTTTTTTCTCTCTACAGTATGTCCCTGGATTATCTTCATAAGGGGAAAAACTTTTTTTTTATTAATTTTTAGAAAAAAATAATACTTCATAAAAGTTTTTGCTTGCTCCAAAATGGTTACCCCCGTTTATATTTTCTAAATATTTATAACTAAGTTCCTAAAATTCAAATTCCTAAAATTTCAAAAAAATTCAAACCTAAAATTCAAATCGCGTTTCTATGGTATTATCATTTCGTTTTGTTCCTTTGATAGATTTTTTGATGAACGTCATATTTTTTGCGGTTTTACTTTGTTAAATAAGTATAAGATATATTTAGTTCAATGCTACGGAATAGATGATTATAAAGTTTGCACTTCTTTAACATTTTTAAGCAGCAAAAAATATGACGTGCATCAAAATTAATTATCTACCAAAGAATTAACAAGAATGAATATCTACAATGATATTACTACACATAGAAACTATGGGGCTTTAAAATACTGGTTTTTCTATAAACGTCAGTAAAAATGTAATTTATGTAAATACTTTTAGCACTGGTGCTAAAACTAAGTTACGTGATTTACTTTTAACACTGAATTAGTGAATGATCGAATGTTTGGAATCTTTCAATTACCCGAGCAACCATAAACTTCATAATTAATTTGATTTCAGAATGACATACATATTATGAACACAAAACATCCCCTTTTAGAACTTGTCTGTCATGTTAAGAAATGAAAGTAAATAATAAAGCGCCTCTCGTGTTTGTTCGCACTCAAAAAATTTCAATTAATGCCTGTATATATTTTTAATATATTTTTTAAATTTACATTTTTTTAATTGTAAAGTAATATATTACATTTAAATGGAATATTACATAACAATTATGTCAATTAAAGGAGTACAAGCTTGTTTTCAACATTTTTTAAATAAAACGAATTATAAAATTTCAATATATGTATATTTTTCGTTGGTATGAAAAAAGTAAAATATAAAATGGACAAACGCTTACTTACATTGCAATAAAACTTTCACTTTTAGTTTTCCAATCTAAACGAAATATTTCTATTTCACAAAATAAAAATATCCGACAACACTAAAATCACTGAAACTTCCGCGGCTGACAACAAAAACTGAAAAATATAACGGCACTTTTTATTTTGGACCTGCGTATCAACATTACGCTGTACTATTATGTGTTTGTTGGTGAAATAATATAAAATATCTAATTATAACTTGTAAATTTTAATATTTTAACATGATTTTAACTACTTTTGACAATAACTAACTCTTTGTTATCAAGATGACATTTTAGACGGCAACTGACATATATGTCATAATATTTGAATTTTAAATATGTATGTAATATAATTTAAATTATTATATTGCAACTTTATACTAAAAACATTTATACGTTCACAAAATACAACAAAGTCTAATAATATAGTTTGAAAACAAATGAATATTGAATTAAAATTAAAAAAGTTAAGCGCGACCCCTTGTGTCAAAATTCGATGATTAAATTTTCGCAATTTTTACACCATTTGATGACCGGTGGCGTCTCTAGTGTTTGTTCGGGCGGTTGGTCTTTTACTCCCGCTTATGGCCATTAAAGAAAAAGTTCTAAAGGGGGATGCTTTGTGGTAAAAATGTAATTTTTAACGCATGCCTAAAATGTGACATTATGTCACTGATGGTAAAAGTCATTTACTTTTAGCACTGGTGCTAAAAGTAAGTTACGTGATTTACTTTTAACACTGAATTAGTTGACAACAAATGATCGAATGTTTGGAATCTTTCAATTACCCGAGCAACCATAAACTTCATAATTAATTTGATTTCAGAATGACATACATATTATGAATTATTCGTTAACGTAAAAAGTAATAATACCTTGATATATACGAGCATAAACTTGTTTGTAGAAAAAATAGTGTATGATATGTGTGCTAAAAGTGATTTTATTCTGTTCGAAGGGATGGGACACTACGCCTTCGGCCAATTATTACCAAATTCATGGTAACGCCTAAAAAGTTAGGTTAGGTTAGGTTAGGTTTTACTAAGTATTGCAAATGTTAGTAATATTGCAATGGTACTAGTAATATTACAAAAGTAGATATTCAAATTATAATATTTTTTCATGATTGTTGTAAAAATGGAGTATTTCTATAAACCTTAAATATTTTTTCAAATATATATTTTTTAGTGTTGGGAAAATTCGAATTAAATAATACGACTAATTCGATAGTAAATTAAAACTAACTAATTCGAATTATCTTTTTCGATATAATCGAGATAAAAATTAGTAGTATTTTATATTATATCTGTGGTAACCGAATTACAAATGAACATAAACCATAACCTCTTATGGACGAATACGAATATTAGTAATTGGCATAGTACTATTAGTAGTATTCTTTCGTTCTGAACGAACTGAAAATTTTCACTTAAACTGATTTATAAAGGGAATCGACAAAGAAAGGAACGATCCGATATAGAAAAATCCAGAAATCATTGTTATTTCCTATACCACGTAGGAATAAATTAGTTTAAGTGAAAATTTTCATTTGTTCAGAAAAGAATACTACTATTATTTGGTTCATTTCCATCTCACCCAAATTTCACCGAAAAAACACCTGCCGAACACTAAAATTAATTTTCTTCTTTTATCTAAATAATTATTGATTGCAACTGTTAAAACAAAAAGAAATACGAACCGCACGTAAACAAGGACATACTTATATCGTTTTAGAAGAAGCTTTTATTTTAGATATGAGCTTTTCAATAGGAATTGAAACATTTATAAACTCGGCACTTTTAAATTTAAAACTTTAAATTATGGTTTAATTTATTAAACGGCTTCGGCACAGTTAATAGAATACATTGAACATTGAATAAAGAATATTTTTTTTATTTTTTATTCAGTGATAGAATATAGGTGTGGCAATGGTTCAGATTTGTTTAAAATAGCCCCTAGACGAGCACTAGCTGGGACTTTTATTGTTAATCTAAGGCTGGGACGAATTTATTTTTAGGTTAAATTTATAATACTACTAAATAATTCGAATTATTAATTCGATTGTGAAATATGAATTATTACTAATTATTCGATGGTGAAAATAATTCGATTATTCCCATCACTTTCCATATTCTTTTTGCAACCAGAAATGAATATTTCATATACAAGTATCGAGTTGTCATATACAAGCAAAACTTACCTACACTCTAATGACAATAAAGATTATTAGACTTTTATTTACTACAGACATATTAAAATATTTGAAATTAAGTATGAATTTACCAAACAAGGATAATAGTATAAGACAATAAACAGATAATTCTAAACACTAGGCGGTACTGATATACCAGGGTATTAAAAATAAAATTTTATTAGAAGTTTACTATCTAGTAGCCTTCCAGTAGGTACCCGTAAAATACTTTTAAGTTAAGTAACAGATAATAACTGCCACTGTAATGCATTCTATTGTCGGACAGACTATATCATATAGGTGTTAAATTACTTAAAAACAGTATGTACTTTGTATGTACTTTCCTAGTTAGAGTGTAAAGCAGGCCATGTACGTTTAATTTTGACGGTTTACGATAGCGCATTTTTGAGTATGTATGCTTTAACTTCTACGATATCCAAGTTAACATAAATAAGTTCCTTATTATTATGACAAAATCTAAATTTTTGAATGGTTTTTTAAAATAAATACTAAAAACTATTTTGATAAATTAAAGAGAAATGTTTATAAAAAGTGTTTTATTTTTTTCCTTACCTACATTTTGTTTGCTTTTGTTTAATAAACATACCTTATATCCTTATGTGGTGTAGCTGGTTAAGCTTGGTTGGCTTTTGCTTTTTTGTCTTATTGAAAATAACAGATTTTCCTTAATTAATTGACAACAGACTTTTCTGCTAATGTATTCGAACGAATTTATGAGCAACTTTGAATAAGAAGACTAAGGAAGGAGCATATCAAAAATCTTAGGTACACCGCGATGGGCCTCAAATATGGCCGACTTAAATTCCGGTTTATCAGTGTCGTTCTAATTTTATTTAAAAAATGTAAAACTATGGTGTAGGGTAGACGTGGGGTAGACTCAATAATTTGTTGTTTTATTTTACGTTGTGAATAAATGTTGGTAGTTATTAAAATTGTTATAAAATATATAATTCTAATAAAAATAGATAAGTTATAATAAGTATTTATTAACACAAACATCCGATACGCTACTGAAGCAGGTAAGTCAAATTAACGTATCTAAATTCTTTGACATCTAATCTTGACAAGTAATAAATAAAAGCTAAAAATGCAAGAAAAAATATATAATTTAGTTAATTTAAGTGAATTTCATAAATGATCGGTTTACTACACGTATGTATATTATATAGTCACTTACTAGCGAAAAGTTGTTCCACTATTTCACTCAATTTTTGCCGAGATCTACCGCACGCTACACAACCAACTATTTTAGAGTCTTTTTCGATAAATCGCGATAGTGTCACTGTTAATTTAAGTTCTGCCACAATTTCCATCTAGATTTACTACCTTTATACAACTATCAGTAGTAGAATAAATAATAAATAACATAAAATAAGACTGACAAATCCAAAAAATTTTAAATCAAATTCAAATGTGTCAAATGAATCGTCAAACAGAACTGTCAAGGATCCCCACCCTAGAGAGCTTTTATGGTGGCTTTTCCGCCCACCATGCATGAATACATGGATAGCATTATGCTCCTTCCTTAGTCTTCTTATTCAAAGATGAGCAACTTTTATTGGTTTCCAGAGCAACTTATTTTATTGGTTTCAGTGTTGTGATAAAAAATTATTCCATATTTTTTTTGCCGCAATTTAACTCTTAAAATAATTTTACTGAGTTTTTAGTGCATGCTAACCGACAAACCGGTAATGCCAATCCCTAATTGCTACATAACATAAGAGAAGCGAATATCTAGGTAAGTACGCAAAGTTTTATGTAAATATAACTATGTAAGTCGACGGAGACTGTCTGATGAATATGCTGTGGTTAAAACTAAAAGAAAATGTTTATATAAAAGTGTTTTATTTTTCACCTCACTGACAGACAAATTTGTTTACAATAAATATAACATTCTTATATACACATAATACTACTAAATTTTCTACTTAACTAATTAGGAACTTTGTAGCGCGTGCAATCCAAAGTACAGCCCCCGTTTCTGGATAAGTTCTTTATGGGTGCCTTGTTCTGCTACTTTGCCTTCACTGATCACACATATGAGGTCGGCATCCTGGATGGTTGTCAAACGATGGGCGATGGTAATACACGTTCTGCCTTGTTTGGCATTATCTAATGCTTCTTGGACAATCTAGAGAGAGATATAATTTGTTAAAACTGTAAAGTTTCATCCAAAACCTCGAAATTAGTGGAATAAATTAGTGGTTTCAATTGGCGTAGCAGTTTGTTTCCCTAGTTTCAATGTAAGCATTCAGAATATCAAAATTATTCGTAGTAATTTTTAATTAGTAGAAAAGTTAACGAACTTTTAACTTTCACCACTAATATTATACTTGAAAATTTGCGAGTAGTGTCATTTGATTATCATCCGTCCAGAGAATATATGGTTATAAATAAAAAGTTTATTGAAACTAAAAGAATTTCGAACTTCCGTTGTCTTTATTTAACTTTTTTTTTATTAACATAACGTTTCGGTCAGAAGGATCACTGATCGTTATCAACTTCACTGCCTCTTGGGCGAGTGATGGAACTCTTTAGGTGCTGTCTGCATAATTCTTACTTTCAAGTTAGAGGAAAGATATAGAAACAAAATATTTTATGGGTATATGTCAGGAGGCAATGTGCACAATTTAAAATTATTTTGAAATATACAGGGTGTTTCAGAACTAAGATCCATACCAAAGTTATATTTTTTCTTATGGAAACACTGGTATTTTATTTTATTTTTGGATTCTTGAGCCCAAAAAAGGCATTATAAGGGTTAAATAGTTTAAAATCTTTTGTTTTTGAGATATTTAAAGATACTTAAATTTGCATGCTATAATAGAATATATTATTAACACCCTGTACATTACTTTTCAGAATTAATTCTTGTGCTGAGTTTAAAGGCAAAGAAATAAACTTTATTGAAAAATAGTATTTCTACCTTAAATTTATACAGGGGTATCAAAAATTGCTGATCAATTTTAAGGGTTTATTTTATATAAAAACTTCGTTATTTACTATTAAATGCAACACCCTGTATTTTTTAAAACAACCCGAAGCAGATTTGAATGCTCTTTTAAACTATGTTAGGGATTCCTATACCTATCTAGCTCAGATTTTGAATAAAAAGCGATTTTTAAATAAAATTGCAATCAAGATGGCTGGTGTCTCCATGGCTAATTTCTAGTGACAGTCAGTAACTATTTTCAAAGTCGTCATTAGTTATGGATATTATTATTTATAGTTTATAACAGTTTACTTAGATTTACCTACAATAGTTTAATAAGTATTCATTATTTTATCAAGCAAGATAAAGCAGTATTTGCTGGCGGAACGAATGGATATGTTACTAGTGATTTTATTTTGTGAGGAAAATTGCTTCTTGGCCTCAAGATCTTATGATCAAAGATATCCAAATAGGAATCATCCTAATAAGCGTTCCTTTGAAAAACTACTAGTCCTATTTCGCAGAGGAGTAATTGGCTCTTTTATAGAAAATCCATATATCTACAAGTCATCGTAAAATAAACCAAAGAACTACTTCTTCGGTTTTCTTGATAGAATAATAAATTCAAATTTAATAAATATTATATTTATTAAACTATTGTAGGGTTAAATTAAATGAAAGTATAAACTGTTATAAATTTAAATAAGTCCATAAAGTAATTTCGATTTTGAAAATAGCTACTAACTGTCACTAGAAACTTGCCATGACGACACTAGTTCTCTTGGTTGCCATTTTATTGAAAAATTGTTCTTTATTCAAAATCTGAGCTAAATAGGTATAGGAAACCCTAATATAGATTGAAAGAGCATTTGAATCTACTTCGATTTATTATAAAAAATACAGGGTGTTGTATTTGAAATAACAAAGTTTTTATGTAAAATAATTCCTTAAAATAGATCAGCAATTTTTGATACCCCTGTATAAATTTAAGAAAGCAATAACATTTTTCTGTAATGTTTATTTCTCTACCTTTAAGCTCAGCACAAGAATTAATTCTGAAAAGTAATGTACTAGATGTTAATAGTCTATTCTATTGTCGCATGCACATTTAAGTATCTCTAAATATCTCAAAAACCAAAAATTTTAAACATATGAAATAAAATACCGGGTGTTCCATAAGAAAAAACATAACTTTGGTATGGATCTTAGTTCTGAAACACCCTGTATATTTCAAAATAATTTTAAATTGTGCACATTGCCTCCCCACATATACCCACAAAATATTTTGTTTCCACATCTTTCCGTTTTTGTATAATCAACCGAGGCGAATGAGGTGCGCCACCCTGTATATGCTACAGTAAAAGTTAGAAATCAGTGATTGTTAACAATTACTAGTAAAAGCTCACATTCATTGATTTGCTAAGACTACGCCAGTAAAAGTTCAACAACTATTTTTGAAACCAACTTTTACTAGTGAATACTACATTGCCTGGACGATAGCAGTGAGTTTGACGTGTGTTAAGTTAGCACAACCACTTAAAAAAAATGTATGAAACTATGTGGAATAATTGCCGTAAATTAGCCGTAAATTTGCCGTGAAAACGAAAAATTTGCCGCTCTTCACTAAGTATGTTAAATCATTGGTTGTGCTAAGTTAATATTAAGTTAGCACAACCACCATTGGAAATCAGTGAAAAAACATAGTTAGGAATTTTATAGTATAGCAGGAATTTGCCGTTTTTTTTGCTGTTCTGTGAAACAATTAAAAAATATCCTCCGATCATTCTCTATCCCCCTGCAACAAAAAATGTAATAGCGTCAAGGTCACATATTAAGTTATTAGCAATAACCATTCCAGTAAACATTAAGTAAAATGTCTGAAATTAGGTGGAACAATTGCCGTAAATTAGCCGTAAATACACCATGCAAACGAAAAATTTGCCGCTCTATTATTTGTTTACAAAATCGATAATTAACGTAAACAATAACGTTAAATTAGCGCGATTTTCCTTAAAATTCACTAAATGGTATCAATAATGACTTTATAGTATAACAGGAATATGCCGTAAACAAGCCGTGAAATCAAAAAATGTGCCGCTTCTTTTATTTCGATTTTGACACAAAATACAGGGTGTTTCATTGAAAATAGTAGATGGAAATACAACATTTAATTTTGACTCACCTTTTATACATCAAACAAGATTGCAAATTCTGGTAGACCGCATTTTGAAGAAGACACTATTATTCAGTACTTCCTGTTAATGTTTTTTTAAATTCTTCGAATTTAGAATATTCAGAGAACTTTAAATAAGCAATAAACTTAGTTTGAAAACGCTTATATTTCAAAAACCATTAGGTATAGTATATGAAATTGGGGTATTTTGAAACAGAAATTTAGTGGCAAATCCACTCAGCTAAAAAAATATATAGTATCCCATTTAAAAATATACAACTTTGGTTAGAAAATATGTTTGAATCGCTCTGTATGCTGACAAAAATATTTTCAAAATGTGCGTTACAATTGCCCCCATATTATATAAAAAAATGAAATGAAATTCACAAACCAAAAACCTAACATAGAACTTTTTCGGAAGCCTGAATCACCCTGTAGATTTTATAAAGAAATAATAGAGCGGCAATTTTTCGATTTGGCTTATTTTACGGTATATTCCTTTTGTACTAAAAAGTTATTATTGATCCCATTTAGTGAATTTTAAGAAAATCGCGCTAATTTAACGTTATTGTTTACGTTAATTATCGATTTTGTAAACAAATAATAGAGCGGCAAATTTTTTCGTTTGCATGGTGTATTTACGGCTAATTTACATTACGGAAATTGTTCCACCTAATTTCAGACATTTTACTTAACGTTTACTGGAATGGTTGTGCTAACTTAATATATGACCTTGACGCTATTACATTTTTTGTTGCAGGGGGATAGAGAATGATCGGAGGATATTTTTTTTAATTGTATCTAAGAACGGCAAAAAAACGGCTATAAATTCCTGCTATACTATAAAATTCCTAACTATGTTCTTGCACTGATTTCCAATGGTGGTTGTGCTAACTTAATATTAACTTAGCACAACCATCGATTTAACATACTTAGCGAAGAGCGGCAAATTTTTAGTTTTCACGGCAAATTTACGGCTAATTTACGGCAATTATTCCACATAGTTTCATACATTTTTTTTAAAGTGGTTGTGCTAACTTAACACACGTGTGAGTTTGAAAAATCCAGTTAGCGCGGTTGCCACATGTTGTAAAATATAAGGATAAATAAGAATAAGTTCAATAATAGGCAATATAAGGATAACATTAAATTGGACTAAACGTTGGCAACGTTGACATACATCTGGAGTAAATTTGCGTTGTTTTTTGTGGTTATCGTTGTAAAAAGTACTGTGCGGTATTTTCCCTATGGAAGAAATTTTCTGTGAAAAATTAAGGTAAAGTAGGCACTCGCCTAGTAAGAATGTAATAGTGCTTGTTTTTTATTTTTGCAGTATAATGAAGTCATAGCAAAAGTTAAGCGTGCAAGAGAAAAATATATTAAGGATTCTAGTGACGATGAATTTATTAAACGATTTGATATGCTTAAAGTAGCGGGTATGAAAAAATGAATAACTCCCTTTGAAGAAAATTCGGGCATACTTTATTTTGTCCACGATGAAGAACTTCATTAAAAAACCTTGTACCAATAAGTAAACTTATGTTTATAAATGTTTTTTTTTAATTGTTTTGTACGCTTTAAACTGTTTACTACGATTTCCCTTTTAATATTTAGGAGGTTATTTCGATATTTTCTATAAGTCTAAACGTTCTCTAACCCAGTGTGAGTAAATATTATCAAAGCAAAACCTTTGAAGGCGGGTAAAAGGACAATAACTTTTTTAATTTAAATTAAACAACTTTAAAGATTGTGAGTTATTGTCCTTTTACCCGCCTTCAAAGGTTTTGCTTTGATTTTCTATAAGTTTTCATAAATATACCAAAGAAGTAAATTGTAATTTTAAGACATGTGGATCAGCTTGAATATTGAGATGATCCAATATTCTTAAAAGTTTTATTTGTTCTAACTTCCACCAACATTCTTCCTCACCACACTCACCCTGTACAATAGAATAACTTTTACTGGCAACCTTCAGTAAATGTTACTTTCACTTGCCAATGTTAGAAATTACTAGGAAAAGGCGACAAATCTCTTTAAATTACCACATTCACTGGACCAATCCGTAATTGCTAGTATTTCCTAGTGAACGTTAACAATCACTGAATTTCTGACTTTCACTGTAACATATACATATATGGAATGGCAGCTCTGCAGTAGTCAAACTAGTCAAACCTAAAATCTGGTTTCGATATGTTGACAATTCTTTCATAATCTGGAATGGAACAGATAGACACCTGGATTCTTTTCTCAATCATCTCAATTCCCAAAATAATTCCACCGAATTTACAATTGAGAAAGAGAAACACCTCTGTGTGCCGTTTCTAGGGTTGGAAATCTTGAGATTCCTCGGTAGGGTGTTGGTAATATTAGTTAGTAATATAAGTTTATTATTTAATTTTTATTGATATTTTGTTGTGTGGAAAATCTAGATATATTAATTTTTTATTATTTCCATTGATTTGAATTGATGGTTATTTAATTTGATTTAATTTGGTTTGATACAATGATTTAATCTAGCATACTTTTTCTTATACTTTGTTGTATCTATTTGAGTTAATATTGTCTTGTAATTGGATTTTGTAATCTCCTAGACAATAAAGCATATAAAATTATATGTATTTACATAAACTACTGTTAGCTGTTTCTAGGATATTCTATTAATTTTAATTGTGTTTTTTAAACATGATCGTAAACTAAAAAAAAATAAAGTATAATTGAAACTAGTAATTTATTCCACTAAGTTCGAGGTTATGAATGAAGCTAACAGTTCTAGATTAAAAATAAAATATTAGTTCTGCATAATTTTTAAAAAACAACAAATTATTTAAAATTTTCTTACTGGTATTGAGATTTTTGGATTACCCTGGCTTATCTACTTTTTGGCTTACCTTTTCACTTTCTACATCTAAAGCTGACGTAGCTTCATCGAGAAGTAGTACTTTAGGGTTTCTAATCAATGCACGAGCAATAGCTATCCTTTGCTTTTGACCACCTGATAGCTGAGTGCCTTTCTCACCGAGCTGCGTGTTATAACCCTAATTAAAGTTTAAAAAATATATTATTAACTTCGTTCAAGCGTTGATTGAAACAATAAAAAGATGCGCAACCTTATGTGCGATTTCGTGGCACAAAGTCTGTCCGATATGTAGTCAACCCGTCCGAGATTTAGTTTAGCTCTGCGCCGCTGCACGCTGATAGTCGTTTACAGCGCAGCGGATAAAGAATACTGTACCGCAGTTCTGCTTTCAGTCGACAGAGTGGGTGGTTGCCGGAGATAGTGTTGCCAGAACTACGGATTAATCCGTAAATTTATAGATTTTGGGTACAGTACGTTAATAATACGGTTTTTTTTATCATTTATATTAATATAATATTATATGATTAAAGAAAGAATGGCGTCAGAGTTGGTTTGGAAATGAAGATCGCTGTTATTTCATATGTAAAATATTATGGTAAATGTCAATAGTCGTCATTTCCAAGCCCACTAAAATTACTTTTTTCGACCATACAAAATAATCAGTACCTATAAAAGAATTTTTGTTTTTGTTGTTTATTCTATGTTTAACACGAATAAATTTTCAATACATAAACGCGGATTTTTCATCCAAAGATATTTTCGTAAAACGTATTCCAGATATTACACATTTTAATACGGCAACGGTTTTCGCTAGCCGAATTAGTGAAAATGAGTGTTTTTTGCGTTGGCCGCAGAACGAGTAGAGGCTCCACCGTACAGCATTTGAGACGTAAGAGGAAATCAAATCAGCCTTATCACAAATTTGCCCATTAGGTTGCGTATCTTCCCAATTCTTTCAATCAATGGTTCAAATCTTTGAAATGTTAATTTTTATTTGTTATAAACTTACTAGAGGTAGTTGTGTTATAAAGTTGTGTATGTTTGCATTCGTAGCTGCTTCCATTATCTCGGCCATAGAAACCTCTCTACCTGTATCTCCATAAGCTATATTTTCTCCTATCGTTCTACTAAACAAATTTGGTTCCTGAGAAACGATACCTAGATGAGACCTATAACAAAATCAGTCCAGAATATCGTTGATTTTAAAATAAAAGAAATATAGTTTGTAGATACCTTAGTGAAGCTAAAGTAATAGACTTAATATTTTGATCGTCTAGTGAAACAGTTCCGGATTTTGGATCGTAGAATCTTTCAATTAGTTGGACAATGGTTGATTTTCCACAACCACTAGGGCCAACTAAAGCCACTGTTTTTCCTTGAAGCACTGATAAATCTAGACCTTTCAAAACTTGGATGTTTTCTCTTGTTGGGTAGTGGAAATAAATGTCTGAGTATGTTATGTTTCCATCGGCCTTAAAAAACGATAAAATATTAAAACTTTATACCGGGTGTTTCTCAAAAGTAGCTATAACTTTTTTTAGATAAGAAAAAACAAAATTTGGTATATGACTTAAATCAGGATTGATTTACGTATTCAATTAGTTTCGGTCACTTCCTGTTCCACCGGAAATGACACAACCTTTGATTTTTAAATGGTGCCCTTGATATATTTTTACTCTATTTCATAGAAAATTTATTCTAAATAGAGCAACACATCATATGTCTTAATTTTTTATATCTTGGCTGTGATAAAACCAATAATTTTTACTCAATACGTATTGGAAAAATAAATTTAAAATAATAATTTGCTAAATTAGTGTTAGAATCTTATCCCCATTCGTTAATTTTTAAAGAAATATATTATTTATGATTGAATAATCACAAAAATGTCTATTACTATCAACTCTGAATTATTAATATTGTTAATTATCGTGTTATTCTGAGATACCGAAATAAAAATGTCAAAAAGCAAAACAAAAGAAGAGAAGAAACCAGAGATGTCAAATTAAAGATTGTATAAAACCTAAATCTAAACTATTATTTTTTTGCTGTAGGAAGAAAATTAATATTTAACTAGGTTTTTATTACAATACATAAATTTACTACATGTAATACTAACTGCAAGATGCATGCTTGTCGCCCATTCGTAAGAACATCTCTGGTTTTTGCCATTTACGCGTGGACTACTCTGGTTTTTCCCTTGTACGACAAAATAACCAAGCTGAAATATCTCTGTGACTAAGCGTATTATTGCTTTCTTCGATGATGCTTCGAATAACGCTAATATTTGCCTATAAAGTCGTGTCGCTATCTTAATTTCAAATCGAAAATGTGACATATCTGGTTTTTCCCGTGTAGTCTTCATATAGAAATTGCATTAATTCTATTTCAGTAATTATATCAGTAGTAATTGTATTGTAATATTTTCAGTAGTATTACTAATAGTTGTTAATAATTTAATTTGATTTTTTTGCTGTGTATGTAACTGAGACATTTTTTTGGGTTGGATAAACAGCTTTTACTTTATTTTCTGATCCAACCAAACTGAATATTTAGTTGTTGGTAGACTATTTGCCTGTAGTTTACGTTATCTATAATTACGACATTTTTCTGCGTTTGTTCTACAAGAATTCTTTTACTTTATTTTTCTCTTTTTTGTTAAACTGTTATTATTTATCAGCAAAACCTCTTCCTCCTTTTGATTTATATAGTTAGATTTTTGCTCCTTTTTTTGTTTGAAAAAATAAAAAAAGTTATAGGGGCGAGCCACTTTCGAAAAATATCCGGTATGTGTCGTTATTTAAAATTGGTATTTCGAAATAGTAATAATTCAAACTGTATGAAGTGTCTGTCCGCTCAAAGAGATGACACATAACAGTGACACAACTGTCACTGTCATGTTTATCCAGCAACCTGTCGTCTGTCGAAAGCTTACTTACTTTTTCTTTTGCGATAGCACCCATAGCGTCATCAACTCTAGGAATTCTATTGATAAGAGTCATAACTTTCTTGGCTGCGATCAACCCTTTTTCTAAATTCGGTGTAAACGCCAATGAATTTGCTATGGACACTGTTCCCATAATTAACGCTTGTGCCACTCTAAAAACATTGTATAATTGATGAGATAATTTTTTTAATATGCTTTTAATGTACTAACTTCATGACGTCACCATAGGGAACGCGATCATCTCTGATGAGAAATCCACCATAATACAGACACGCAGAGAAGGCGAACAGTATAATAGCTCTAGAAAAACCTAAAAGTATGTTAAACATATTATATTTTGGGCTATTTTATTATATTATACATTGTAAACTTTGGAGCAAACAAATTTGTATTGGGAACATTATATTATGTCTGAGGATTTTAACGTGTAAGACAAGGAATAACATAAATGACCGATTGACAGACAGAGAGACAAAATCAAAAGCGGCATACAGCGTTGCCGGTTTTTACGTTTGTAGGAAAATGTGTGTAGAAAATTTTCATGTATACTACTGAAATGAAAATAATATTTTAAGCTAAATATAATCTATTACATCTGTTATGAAACGAGTAACTAATTGTAAAAAATAAAGTTCTAACCCTAGATGCAACATTTTCCATAAACGCCTACTTGTGCGGTTTGAACTATTAATGCAAAATCCGGCAATACCGCATGGAAGACATGTATCACACCAACTTTTATCCCTTTTTAATACATTTTATTTTCTACTAAGCTGCCTACATCACTGTCTTACGCGTTAAAATCCAGACCACACTTCTAAAATGACCAAATGGGTATGTTGGCTCAAAATTAATCATTCTACAAAGTGTTTCAAAAACATGTGCCATTTCTCGTGGGGAGATTCCTCACGTTAAAATGAGACTTATGGTTCATATCAACGTAGGTCCTATTCTGCTTTTTTCGTAGCTACAGGGGGTAAAAGTTTTATTTTTTTTGATTAATTATAATTTCCTTCCAAGCCAAGAGATTCGAATGACATTTTGAGGATCAAAGTTACTTTAAGTATTACTTAACTTGCCAATTAACTAATACTAAATAATAATATATGCATGTATATCATATATAAAATAAGTTTTGCTTATCAAGTTTTGCTAACATTAGACTTGGGTTAAGGCAGATTAATAAAATTGCGTTTATCTTAGGAGATCGAAATCGATAAAATATCAAAGGGCAACTTTTAATTGGCATTAAAAGGCCTACACAATTGTGTTATTTAGAGAAAAATGTCAGTGGCGTACAATAAGTATTTTTTTTATAAAAAATATTCCAGTGATAACCCATATGCACGTCAATCTGTCGAAATTTTTTTAGCATTATATGTAGCACTTATAGTGGCTAATAGTGACATCTACTGTCAAAATATCATTTGACTCGCTAAAGGTATTTTCAATGAAATAATAAATAAAAAACAACTTTAACCTCCTGTAGTTACGAAATGAAGCAGAATCGGATCTATATTGATAAAAAAATAAAATTTATTTTTCGTGAGGAATTTCCCTGGAATGGCACATGTTTTTGAAACACCGTGTATATGAATAGGGTATGTTACAAACATGTCTATGTAATATACAATTACCTAATACTAGTGATCTGGAATGCGTTGCTCTTAGACTTGTCTTAATATGAGGGGCTAGTTCGTCAATATACAAATTGTAAAAGATTTTTTCACAGCCCAAAGACACTACAGTTCTTATATTGCCAACACCTTCGACTGCAATCTAAAATTTTATTTTTATCATGAGATACTAGTGAGAAGTAATATTTACCTTAGTTGATCTTTCTAAAGATTTTCTGTAAGCTTCGTTTTCACCAGCCATCTGTCTCCTTTGAAGGAAAGTAGCTATGACGATCAATGGAAAGAACGATAGAGCAACCAGTCCCAGTTTCCATTGGTAGTACATTGCCAAACCAACGGCCAAAAACAGAGTGGATGCCGAATTCACTATGGCACCAATTCGTTGACCAGTAGCCTAAAAATGTTTCTTTATAGGTACATTTTTAAAGGATATAAAATAAAATGAAATTACGCCTTGGACTTGAGCTGCTTCGTTGGAGAGCTGAGCACATAGAGCACCGACTCCGTTCTCTTTTCTGTCAAAGTAACCCATTTCTTGCTTGAGCATTGCTTGGAACATTCTACTTCGAATGCGGTAGGTCAGCTTTTGACCGGCTCTTCCAAACATATACATCTATAAGAGAAAATAGTTATATAAACAGCCAATAAACTATGCATAGTGTAATACAATGACTAAAGAATACAAGGACAAATAACACCCGAGACCAAACTGTTACCATTCTTCCTAACAGTGCCGTGGCACATATTTTTCTTAACATAGCCGCTTGAAGCGATATTTATACTTTTGATAACTGTTTTGACTACGCCTATGGTGTATCGGGGGTATCATATTAATTAATTACGAAAAAAATGTATTAAAATGGTAACAAAAGGTACAAAACTAGTATCGACATATAGCACATATCAAGTACATATAATACCAGAAAAAAAATAATCATCGAATTCAATAAAAAAAACGCTAAAAAGGTGGAGTGGACTGTTTATTTTCCTATGGAACGTAACTCCTGGCTCTTTCTTATCACTGCGCCTTTTACATTTAGCTGAATAAATTACCATTGTAATAAAGTTTATACAAAATTTACTACACACAACAAACTATTAAAAATCGCTAAAATTGTCACTGGCGTCATGGCAAAAAAAGAAAAATCATGGTAGTATCATCATTATATTAGTAAATATTGAATTCTATGAATGAAACCAAACTAAAAACTAAACAAACAAGGCAAACAACTCGAGCGCTTCGAACCGCCGTAAAGTGTGCTCGCATGGCTCCGAAGCGTCTCTGATGTACCGCGACCTACCTAGTCCAAACATGCATTTTATGCGATCGTAAGCACGTGGACCACCGCGAGCATCGCGATCATATTGATCCGACTGTTTGCCATGTTTTTCGCGTTTCATGTGTTCGTTCGGCCTGCTTGCGTGGACGCACCTTTAGAGTCTGTATGATTGTAAAGAAATTAAGTTTCATAAGTCCAGTGTCGTGTCTACCCATTAGTTAGATATTCTTCTTTTTTTGTTAGGTCTTTTCAAATTACCTGTAAAAATGTTGCAACCATGGCTAGGACCCCAGCTAATACGAAATACAGCGAGTATTTGTCCGTTTCGCTCCTGACGTAGTCGTGATCGGGGTTGTCGAATACCTGGACAATGTTGCCGAACAAAATGGCGAAAATTGGCATGGAGAAGCCCATCAGAGCGGCACCCAAACTACCCAGAAAGAGCAGGAACCATTCGGGACTGTTCAGTTTCACGATGGACCACAGGGAGGCTTTCTTCACGAAACTGTCCGAATCTGCCTCGTTGTTCTGTGTATTAAGATAATTTATTTATTAGATTTATATTAGCTAATTTTACTATAATGAAAAAAATAAAGATTGCTCCCATGTTATTACTATGTTAATATTGCGGAAATAATGGTAGTCTATTTAATTAATGGTATACTCTTTTATAAAAATTTAAATAGTTTTCTTTTTGTATACAAATGGACAGGGGCGCAACTAGACACCGACTGTTGGGGGGGCCCAAGCCCCGAGACTTTTAAAGTAAGATTTGAGGATAATACCAATTTAAAAAAAACAGTAATGTTTTGTTCATAATATTTTTTTGTTTTTTATTTAATAATACCATGAAATTAATACTATCTTAATCTTAACCAATCTTTATTATGTACAGAGTGGGTCAAATTGGACGCTTTTAAAGGGAAACACCCTTTTCTATAGGAGATAGACGAAAACTAATGTCGGTCTCTGGAGCTCAATTTTTTATCAAAAAGATGATAGTGAAAACCGCATATCGATATCTGTTACTGTTTCGAAGTTATGGGTTTTTTATTCAAAAATGTGCATTTTTAACAAATCTCTATAACTTTTTTGCTATGGAAAATTTTGTATTTTTATGAAAACATTTCCAAAGTACCATTTTAATGGTTTAAGTATAATTTTTTTAAAATTAATAATTTAAGAGTTATTAACAGAAAAACTGATTTTTTTATTTGGAACGCCCTGTATAATTTTAATTAACTGCAAAGAATTTAAAATTACCTTTCCAAAAATATAGCATACTTAATATTTTGTTATAGTCCCCTTCGAAATACAGAATTTTTAAAAGTTCGCCACTTTTAACTAGTAGGCTTTGGACCCCTTATTTGGCGATCTGCCCCTAATGGAATTCGAAAACATATTTTTTCAGTAAAACGAAGCATCGCTCCAGAACACTGAAGTTATCAGCAAATTTTTGCAGCCAATTCGAGAATAATGAATAGCTAACCAAGGTTCCAGCCGTTGGCCGTCGAGGCCGTGGACTCAGCGCGTATGGATTTTTCTATTTGCGAAAGAATAAAGGTTTTTATTTTCAAATTGCCTGTATAATCTAGACAAGAATTAGAAGTAATTAGCGGTTATGCGAGGGTATCTTTCAACGCCACTGAGTTAATAAATTCCGCGAGAAATGTTTAAAAACGGTCCCGTGTGTCCATAATAGAATACGGTCGACATGTCAAACACATGTAGCAAAATCTCTTGGTTTGTTATCTATTTTTATTGTTATTATAAATAAATAAATGCCTTTATTGTCAAAAAATTTTTCAATTTGTGGACAAAGGTAAACTAACAAACAAAGTAAAAAAAAACAAGGTACACAAACAAACAAACAAAAGATAATACAAAACATTATACAAATAATATTGGCAGTCATTGTTAAAATAAACATATATAAATGTTTACAATGTCAAAGAACAAAAAAAATTAAAATAATATTCAAAAATATTTAGCCAGTTTATAGCAAAATATCAATGACCTCTAAATAAATTAATTTCGATGTCATTAGTAAATATAGCAATAGCAAACATTAGACCAGTGTTTTCAAGATCAAATTCGATTTTCAATTCAAATATAATTCATTTACGGCGTAGAAAGCCTTGTCTAGTAAATAAGAGTTCAATGCTTTGCGAAATGAAAAAAATGATGTTATGGATTTGATTTCAAATGGCAGGTGATTGTGCATTTTTTTCGAGTTGTATAATATTGAACTTTTAACTAACTCTGAGCGTGGGGTAGGTAGATAAAGATCTTGCTCCGCGTTCCTGAGTGGATAAGTGTGAGATGGCCTTTCTTGAGAAGCTGATACATGTTTACGTATTAGGCAAACGGATTCAAATATAAATAAGGAAGGAAGAGTCAATATTTTTAATTCTCTAAAAAAGCCCCGGCAATGAGTTCTGCTGTTTAGTCCCAGTGAATATCGAACAGCTCTCTTCTGGAGCTTGAAAATGCGGTCAAATTGAGCCGCACAACACGTACCCCAGAATGGAAGGGCATACCTGAGGTGCGACTCAAAAAGTGCATAATAAACAGTTCTAGCCACTGACAAGTTAAGCTCCTTAGAAACAGACCTTAATGCAAAACAGGCAGAGCTCAATTTTTTCGACAAAGCTTCGATATGTATGTCCCATTTCAGAGAATTGTCCACAACAAGCCCTAAGAATTTTACGGATTTTACGACGTTAATGGTGGTGTTGTCAAGTACAAAAGGCTGCAACGAGTTTTTATACGACAAAGCCTTAGTTTTAGAAATGTTGAGACTCAGGAGGTTCGAATCGCACCAAGATTTAATGGTGATTAAGTCATTTGATATAATCCTATGAAGTGCCGCGATGTCCGTGTTGCTCCAAGTTAAGCTAGTGTCGTCCGCAAAAAGACATATTTTGCCACTGATGTTTATGTTAGCAATGTCGTTAATAAAAAGAAGAGACAAAATAGGGCCTAGTACTGAGCCTTGTGGTACTCCACATTCTATTGGCTTGCTAGAAGACAACGTGGTATCCACCCTCACAAGTTGACTTCTGTTGCTCAGATACGACTTAAACCATTCGAGAGATGATCTCCTGAACCCATAGTGCTGCAGTTTATTAATTAGGATCTTATGATTTACACAATCGAACGCCTGAGAAAAATCACAGAAAATTGTTGCTGTAGAATGATGGTTGTTTAGGCTGGAGTAAACTTTATTAAGGAGGGAAAACATTATTATTAGATATAGTTTAAATCTGTTGATGTTGAGATGTTGTTAAATATAGTTTAAATTGTTATAAAATTCTGCATCTCTCATTGCAAATATTATTTTCGTTTTAATTGCTGTTCACGGCTAGAATTTTTTTCTATCACAGGCAAAATATCAAGTGTGCTATATTTTTGAAAAGGTAATTTTAAATTATTTTCAATGAATTAAAAATCTACAGGGTGTCCCATATAAAAAATCAAATTTTCTGTTGATAACTCTTAAATTATTAATTAAAAAAAAATACGTAAAAAAATTGCATTTTTTTTTATTTCAATGAATTAAAAATATACAGGGTGTCCCATATAAAAACTCAAATTTTCTGGTTATAACTCTTAAATTATTAATTAAAAAAAATACGTAAAAAAATTGCATGTTCTATTTGAGTAAAAATTACTTTTTGTGCCTCGCCTGAAATGCCAAGCGTACGCCAAAAAAAGGATAATTTTTATTCATAATAAAATATTATATTATCAATAAAATATTATCAAAAACTTAAAACTAGTAAATATTAATAAAGTTTGGTGATCATCCATGAGAACCTGACGCTTGTTACTCAGCTTTGCTCGTAGAATCACACTATATCACGTGGTTTTATTGAACCGCACCAAACATCTGGGAGGGCTAATTTTGAGTCTAGGGGGGCTAAGCCCCCCCTAGCCCCCCCTAGTTGCGAAACTGCAAATGGACTAGTAATATTATCCTTTTTGGCACCTGTACACTTTGTACATTTTGTACGTTTTGATGAACAACCCTGTATAAGATGTGATAGAGATCAAACTAAATATTTGCAATCACAACTACCCAGTCCAAAATATTTGTATTCTTAAAAAAATTGCTTTCGTCCATGATCTACCGGAAGTAAAGTTTGTACAACGAGTCAGAAATGATTTCGACAGATGACATCGAGAAATTGACAGAAATAGTAATTTATTTTTGACCTAACCTAACAGACAACAACTGTTACTGTCAAGTGTTCTCTCGTTAGGCAGGCTATTTTCTATGTGTTCTACGGTAAGTAGACTTACCGCTACATTTACAATGATTTCTTCCTCTGTGTCATCCTTGAAGTCATCTAACAGCGTCGATTTTTCGTCCCCGTAATTAGTATTTTTAAATTCTTCGTTTCCTTGAACTTGTGTGGTAACTGGAAAAATTAAATTGAAAATTAATTAACAAACGAATGACAATGTCAGGAAATAAATAAATAACTGTGGCAACTGGACATTTTTTATAGTAAAGCTACCACCTGAATCCCCAGCGCAAAATTTAAATTCCAGTTAGTCAGCCCGGCGCTGAATATGTCCATGGTTGGCAATAATGAATTTAAAAAACCGCGCCTTCGATTACGTAACTAAAAGTTTAATTGACATCAAATATAGTTCTAGATTCTATCTATAATCGGACAAACAACAACAAGATAACGGCAAGCGAAACACAATCCTCTAAAAACATGGCCGATTTCGTTCATAAAATATTAAGAGAAGTGCAGTATATTAAGTAGACTGGCTGTCTAATAAATAGGCTGTGCTATAACCACTTTAATTCAAAACACTTTTTCATTATTATTGACACAAAAATATTGGTAAACATTCAGAAGCAAATATTTAGAGTTTTTAAGTCCTACCGATAGTTACATATACTCTGTTTTTTTTCTCAGGTAAGATTTCGATCATAGATAAAAGAAACAAGTTTAGATTGGAAAGTGCCCATAAGGACAATGTAAACACTATTTGGCGCTATTCTTGCAACGGTCGCGACCCAAAACTTTTGAAAATTTCGGAGCGGTTCGGCTTTTTCCGGAATTATATCGCCAAATATTGTTTATTCAAATTTATTATTATTTTCGTTTAATTTTATAAATAAAATACAGTGTGTTGCATACAAGAAACTTTATTTTATATCAGGACGCATATATGAAATACCCAGAGAATAGGTACATTAAAGAAATGCTAACTTCATGTTAAAAAATGGAAACAGACGCCATCTGGTGTCGCCTGGCAGTACTAGCTAAATTGAGGGGAATTGGAGGGGCGGGGCTTAAAAGAGGGGAAATTTTTAAAAAAATATTTTTATAAGTATCACTGACTTACTGTTTAAAGTTAATAAACATATTTTTTATTACTTTTATATAAATTAATGTATTAAAAAATATGTCTATTAACTTTATACAGCAAATCAATGATATTATTAAAAACTTATTATTTTCAGAGAAAATTCATAGTAAATAAATTACACGTTAGTAAACAATATCATTTATTTTTTAGAGCTGCGATTTATATTACAATAATATTGAAATATATATATATTTTTTTAACAATGAAAAAAGAATATCCTGAACCTGAAAAAGAAAGATGATCAATTAATGACTTAAATTAGTTCAAAATACATTTTGCAAATAACTAGTGAATTGGAAGGATAAACATACTATTAAAAAGACATTTTAGTAGTATGTTATCATCTATTTACTGATAATACATAAGTATATAATAGGTAAATAACATGCATAAGGCACTATGATACAACTACCTGTATCATGATAACACACTAATATCACAAAAAATATATGCTAATTTAAATTCCTTTAATGATCTAATGAAACACTAGGTATCTAGCCTCAATGCATGCCATTCCAAAGGCAAAAAAAAAAAAAAAAACTGTTATACCAAATAAATATAAACTGAAAAAACATAAACCAAGCCAACGTGCATAAAAAACCAAAAAATGCATCAAAAAATACTTTTATCAGATCATACCCTTGGATATATTATGTATTTTATATATCGCACATCCCGTTCAAAAGTTTACTAACTCAAAATAGAGAATATAGAGAACATTGTCAAGAGAAGTAAAAGAAAATTTAAGTTAAGGCAATATGCTCCTTTTTGGATATTAATGGCCAAATAATATAATGTTGATTTAATAAAATTTTACTGGCATCCTTCTGAGGTATAAATCAGATTAAAAGGACATTGTTTTTGTAATAATTGTTTGTTTTGTAAACATTTTTTGAAGACAATACAGTTTTGAACGGGCTGTGCGATATAAACAAGGATCTTACTATTATTTGAGGTTAGAAAGTATTTAAATAACATAAAACATAATCAAAATCATTTGTCATCATAAATTATAGAGGTACTTACGTGTTTTGATATTATTATCAGGAAATAATACGTTTAGTTAAACAGGTACGCTGCCAGGCAAGTTCTATCGGCGGGTCTTTGCAAAAGTTGAAATCTAAAAATACAAAACTACGTTTACATCTTAGTTGTATTTACGAATAAAGTATTTGTGTGTAATTTCTGACTTACCAGTTAATTGAATAATCGCATTAAATACATCCAAATGGTAATTTAATATTGTAAAAAGCAAAATTGTTTTAAATCACTTGCCAGGACAGCCCGGCCAGCTTCTTTGTTGGCAAAATGGCCGCGGTATCATGATTTAAGCAATGTGAGTGACAAAGAAAGCCAATGCCTGGCAGATGTTGCTTTCTTTGTCGTTGGTCCTGGCACGTTTAAATTTGACTGTTGCCTCTTTTCCCATACAAGTGACACCCCCGTGGAAATACCTATGAAACATTGGAAACCGACGTTATGCCACGATCCACGATGTTTTTTGAAGTTCACAGTTCACAGCACAGATTTTTAAGTTTTTAATGCCACTTTTTCACAATTATCACCGGTTGGAGTAAATAAAACTTGAATTAAACTCACAAGATAGCAATAATTACTTTGAAAATGGACGCTATAAACACTTTTCGGAATTTCTTTAATGAGAGCGGTTTAGATTTTGAAAGATTATTATGATTTTTGAAGATTCTGACTTTGACAAGAGAAAATTATTTCTGTTTTTGTTTGCCGTTGTTCTTAGCGACCGCTATAGCAGCGCCAGATCGCGTATAACGGTCGCGACCCAAAATAATTTCGCGACCCAACATTTTTACGGGCTTTCCAATCTAAACTTGTTGCATTTATCTATGATTTCGATAGACGACGACAGAAGAAAAGCAGATGATACCAATACCAAATACCAATCTATTTATTTTACTAAAAAAAGTTTCTAATAATTTTTAAGTTAACTATGGATGGGTTTAAATATAAATTCGTCATGCGTCGTCACTTGTTGTTTTTAACCAGTTTCATTGGTTTATTTCAAAAATGACAGATCGTATTTCAATTTTATTGGTTTGACGGAACGATGAAGGACAAACGGACGCCGATGTGTATGAACTCGCCTTTAGATTTTTGACGTTTGTCAAAGTCTTGCCAAATTATAGGTTATAATTTTGTGACAACTTTTGTCAAATACCCTGCGTTTTGGAAGATGATGCATTTTGATTCGTGTTATTTCGTGTGTTTTGTGTCTTTTGAAGTCAAGTAGAGGAAAAATCGAGTGAAAATTAACTGTAGAACCCAGATCACAGTTTATGGTTAATACTGGCTGCCCAGGCAGAAAGTCTTATACAGATACACCAATAAAGTTACTATCAATAAAGTTCGTATACCATCTCGTCGTAGATAAGTGCATCTCGAATATGGTAGAAGGACCATACTAAACACATACTAAAAACTGGAGTAGTTGTAAAATATCGACATCACACGATAGGTAAATAATGGATTTTAGTACTGCAGAAAAATAATGTTAAAAGGTACTGGTTTAAAAAAAATTAAGATTAAAGCTAATTAATCAACCTGTGAGCTATAAAATTTAGTAAGTGCTATTCTTAATAAAGTTTGTTTTATTTATGTTGTTTTATTTATTCCTGCGGAATATTACAAATTTGCATTTGTACATAAGTTATATTGATAAATATAATCATAAATGCGGGAAGTTTCATAAAGCTTGAAAGTAAGAAATAGTTCTCTTTTATATTTTTTGGTATGTGGTGTCTTGTTTTTGTTTGTTTTGTATTAACACATACCGTTAAAATGATTATTAAATAAAATAACTCGATTGCATTTTTTCAGGTTTATACAGTTTTTTTCACAATATTTTGAAGTTACTTGTCAGTGAAATTTTAAATACATATATTAATTTCCTGCTATGCATTCCAGTTGTACCAACTTATTTCTTTGTAAAATAAAATAAACTACTTTGAAATTAAAATGACAGACACATCTATCACTGTCAAGGATCTTCTCGTTGGACAGACTATACATAGAAATTATACTTTTGTGAGTATTACAAGCATAAGTTATAACTACTGTACTTATTTATTTACCTAGAGTGAAGTAATGTCCTCCCAATTTCAGAAGTTGTTCGTGAGTTCCTTCTTCTACGACTTTACCATTTGACACTACGAAAATTTTATTTGCTCCCCTAATTGTAGATAACCTGTGGGCCACTATAATCGTAGTTCTGTTTTGACTGGCCTAGAAGTACGTTTGTTCAAAAAAAACTTGTTTTAGATTTAGTGTTAACTGTGATTCAACTGTGATTAAGTGTTCAACTGTGATTACCTTGTCTAAAGCTGCTTGAACTTTAGCCTCGCTGTTGGTATCTAAAGCTGATGTCGCTTCATCTAATAGCAATATTGCTGGATTTCTCACTAATGCTCTTGCTATAGCTATTCTTTGTTTTTGGCCACCTGATAACTGAGCCCCTTAAAATAAATGATAATTATACATAAAAAGCAATATTATTTTAAAAGGGTACAGTGAAACAGAGTGAAATTGTAATACCTCTTTCTCCTACAAGCGTTTTGTATCCGCTAGGAAGTTTCTTGATAAAACCATGAGCATTAGCCATCATACTCGCCTCAATTATATCCTTTTCTGTAGCTTCTGTGTTTCCATATCTAAGAATATTTTTGTATTAATTTTTAAACAAACATTTAAAAATATAAACGGTATTACCTAATATTCTCTTCGATTGTGGTATCAAATAAAATAGGTTCTTGACTAACGACCCCGATGTTTTTTCTATACCATGTTAAATCTAAATCTCTTAGGTCTTTTCCATCAATAAATACCTGTAAGTAAATATGTCATTTTGAATTGTACAGGGTGAGTCAACGATAGAGTAAAGTCCATTATCTCATTTATTTCAAGGTTTACAAAAAAAATGTTTAATATAAAAGTTATAGGGATGGTTAAGATACACATTTTAAAATTATTATAGAGTATACAAGGTGCTTCAAAAAAGTGTGGCGGCTATAATATATGTTTTTTTAAATGCAACACCCTATTTTTTATTTTATTTTTAGATTCTGCGTAAAATTCCATAACTTTTTTTATATATATAATGTTATATACCTAAAATTAATAGTTTTTGTAATATTTCAATTTATTTAAACAAATGTTAAATTGCAGTGTGGTAAAAAATTGTCAGTGGTGCCATTGTTTCTGAAGTTGGAGTACCAAAATTTGGTAAGAGAGTTTCATAGAGATGAAAAAAAAGATATATGCAAAGATATTTTAGTTAAATGATACAGGGTGTTCAAAATATATTTATGAATTTCAACTATTTAAAATTAAAAAATCTCAAATTTTTTAAATGGGACACCCTATATATTATAATTTTTTCTGGTAGATTTGACAGCACTCTTTAACTTTTATTAAGTATGTCATATCCCTATTTTTGATAGTTTGCGATTTATTCCCATTTTTTCTATTTTTACCCATATTTTTAATACAATTACCCTATAAAATCATAGTTGCCATGACAAAACAAAACTATTTATTACTTACCTTTAACAAGTAGCTTCATAATTAGTTACAATTGCTGGTATTAGTTAAAATTAATTAACTTTACTCAAATAAACTAAATCGCAGTAGTGAATTTCTTGGTGTATTTCTATATTATGAAAGATGACACTTGGGATTTTCGTCGGGGCGAATAGCCACAGATTAGGATAATACTAGATTACGTAATTGCTGAAGACTGCTGATATATGAATTTTCTTCGACATACAGTAAAGTTTTTCTCGTAGTAATTCTGGTTTATAATTCATTTGGTAAAGCCAATATTACTACTGCCGCGAAACCGTCCCATTACACACTGAAGATGTTTTCTAGATAATATACATACATCTATCCTTATAGTAGTTAGCAAAGTACTATATAATATATAGTACCGAACCAAAACATGTGGTTTTCTAAGCTTGTCCTGTAATTCAATTGACTAATTAATTTCTGAAAATCTATTATCTCTATCATTTATACTTATTACAACAAATTAAACCAAAATTCAAATTTTGTTCTTAACTTGCTTAACAGACATGAAATTGTGATAATTATTACTTTTGTCATGGTAACTATGATGTTATATCGCAATTGTATTAAAAATATGGGTAAAAATAGAAAAAAAATGGAATAAATCGCAAACTAATAAAAATAGGTATATGACATCTAAATAAAAATTGAAGAGTTTGGTAAAATCTATCAGAAAAAATGATAATATATAGGGTGTACAATTTAAAAAAATTGAAATTCCGTAATTTTAAGTAGTTGAAATTCTTAAATATATTTTGAACACCCTGTAACATCTAATTAAAATATCTTTACATAGGTCTTTTTCTATATCTTTATAAAATACTCCTACCAAATTTTAGTTGTCCAACTTCAGAGTCAATGCCAGCATTGACAATTTTTTAACCCACTGCAATCTTACATTTGTTTAAACAAATTTAAGTATAACAAAAACTATTAATTTTAGGTATATAACATTATGCATTAAAAAGTTATGGAATTTTACGCAGAATCTAAAAATAAAATAAAAAATAGGGTGTTACGTTTAAAAAAACATATGTTATATTCGCCACACTTTTTTGAAGCACCCTGTATACTGTATAATAATTTTAAAATGTGTATCTTAACCATCTCTATAACTTTTATATTTAATATTTTTTTGTAAACCTCGAAACAAATGAGATAATGGACTTTACTCTATCGTTGACTCACCCTGTACAGGGTGTTCCATTTTTGTGTCTTTTTGGGGTTTCTGGTTTATGATTAGAGATACAAAGATGAGGTAGTATATACACACATATCAGTCTGTTACTTTTTTATGAATCTAAAGATGCTACACACATATTTGCCCCAGCATTTTGAAACACCGGACGAATTTTAAAATGTTGCACATTTTGACCCCTTTCGTATCTTTGTCATAACATATCGAAAAGGTAAAAACTGTGCCAGTTAGTACCTTACCGATAAGATAGTCGAGATACGAGGGGAGTCAAAAAATACAACAATTTCAAATTTGCCCTGTATTTCAGAAACTAAGAGGGCCAGTATTAATCTACGTATAGCATTTTTAGTTTCATAAAAAATAGCAAAGTGAAATAAAAAACACATCTTGTATGTCTACTCATAAAAGAGAAACCCTGGAAAACACACGAAAATAGGACACTGTGCATATTCTAAGAACATTTTACACGCGGCCTTATGGTCAATTTTGATTGAAATCTTTGAATTTTTTTTAATATGTTCGATTACTACATGTTTTATGTTGATTGATATATACCTTTCCAGATAAGGGATCATAGAATCGTTGAATTAACTGCAGAACTGTTGATTTTCCACATCCAGAACTGCCTACTAGGGCTACTGTTTCTCCAGGATTAATTTCAATATTAATTCCTTGAAGAATCTAAAACAGAAGAAACAAATAAATAATGTTAAAGAAAGTTAGACATCTATTTCACAATATTGTCAAGGTGTATTACTGGTTGCATAACTGCGTACTGCTGAATAGTCGCGGCGTGCATTGAGGAACTTGGCGCATTCGCCAGAAAGTAAAGAAAATTATAGAATTCTTTAGAAAAATCTAGAAACAACCGCCAGGGGGTATATAAGGCCCGCGCTTTGACAGTTGGACAAGTTTGAAGTCTAAAGTCTGAAGATAGTCTGAAGTCTGAAGTTTGAAAATACCGCGAAATACCGTTAGAGTAATAGTAGTTGCATAAGTTGTGTTGTAAATAGTATAAGTTGTGTGTACAGAGTGAAACAAATAAATTCGTTAAGTATTTTATCGTGAGTTTAAAGAGTGGACCTACGGAATCCGTAAGAATTGGTGTCAGAAGTGGGATTCAAGAGGATTTTAAGAAGAAATTAAGTGGATTGGAAGATTTTTAGACCGGATTAGAGTATGTTAATGGTTGGTACAAGGGAACAAGCGAAGAAAATGGAGGAAGTAAGCAAACTATTGGGCGATTTTATGGAGAATATGAGAAGAGAAAAGGCAGAAGAACAAGAGAGGCTGCGAAAAGAAAAAGCAGAAGATCAAGAAAGGCTCCGTAAAGAACGAGAAGAAGAGCGAGCCCGATTAGAAAGAGAAAAGGAAGAGGAAAAATTACGACGTCAACAAGAACAGGACCGGCTTGAGAACATTTTCGAAGATTTAAAAATTCAACGACAACAAGACAAACAAGAAGAACAGGACCGGCTTGAGCAAATTTTCGAAGATTTAAAAATACAACGACAACAAGACAAACAAGTAGAACAGGACCGGCTTGAGAAAATATTAGGAAATTTGGAAATTCGTGTGGAGGAGCGACGTCACAGGGAAAGACAAGAAGATCAGGACCGTCTTAAGAGAACTTTGGAAAATCAGGAATTTCGACTACAGAAGAATTTTGAAGACCTGGAAAACGGCAGGAAAATCACCTTCAAGAAGCCGTAGAAGATCTTGAGGAACGCCTTCAGCAGAAAATGGAAAAATTAGAGATGGACCTACAGAAGACCAAGGCACAAGTAAGAACACCTGGCGTTCAACGAACAGCGAACCTTAAGGCCCCGACCTACGATGGACAAACGACATGGACAATGTACCACCGTCAGTTTGAAGCAGCCGCCGCTGCCAACGGACGGACTGACCAGGAGAAAGCAGCGGCACTCGTCATCGCGCTGCGTGGCCCTGCCCTGGAATTGCTACAAACTATTCCTGCAGCCCAACAGCAGGAATACGAAACATTAGTTGCTGCATTGGACAGAAGATATGGCGACCAACATCGACGCCAACTTTACCAGGCCCAGATCAAGACACGCCTGCAGAGGTCCGGAGAGAGTCTGCAGGAATTTGGAAGCAGACTTACGTCGGCTGGTACACCTAGCGTATCCTGAAGCACCGGAAGGATTTAGGGAGGAACTCGCTGCTCAGTGCTTTATCAGTGGACTGAGGGACAACGAATTACAGAGGGCGCTGCAAATATCCCGATTTTCTACCAGCAGCGAAGCACTGGTCAGGGCGCTGGAAATCGAAGCTGCTTTTAGCGCCATCCCTAGACCGAAGATAAGATCGGTAACGGTAGAGGAACAGCCCGAGAGTACCCACAGAAGTTTGGAGGAGATGTGTAGAAAATTCGACAAACTATGTGAGCTACTAATAAACAAGGGAGTCAACAACACCCAGACAGAGAACCAAAGAAGATTCCAGGATATGAGGTGCTATGGATGCGGCAGGAATGGCCACATCAAACGGGATTGTCGCATCCAAATGCAATTCCATTCACCATCCAGAGAACATCGGCACATCGGAAGATCCCAGGACATAAGTTGCTATAGATGTGGCAGGAATGGCCACATCAAACGGGATTGCCGCGTCCAAATGCGATTCCGTTTACCATCGAGAGAACATAGGCACCAGGAAATCAACACTAATGAGCGAGTATTGGCTGAAGAAAACGGAGTCCCTAGGATGTTTTCCGTTAGGAGTCTAGGAAAAACCGCTGATAGTTTGGTGATCAACGGGAAGGTCAATGGTAGAAGAATTCGAATGACTGTGGACACAGGCGCTATGGTATCGTTGGTGCGGACTAACTCAGTGCAAGGATTGAAGATGATGCCTCTTAGAAGAAGAGTGTATTTACGTACAGTTACGGGGGAAATGGCCGTTGTACGGGGAGAGGCTTTCATGGAATTGGAGTTAGGGAATTTGAAGTTTCGGCATAGCGTTTTAGTGGCAGACATTGAAGATGATTTTATCATGGGTATGGATGTGATCAGTCAACATGGTTTTTCGTTTGATCACCATAGAAACATCCTGAAAATCGGAAATGAGGAATTTTCTGTATCTAAAGAGAAGAGACCAGGAAATATGGAAGAAAGATCATCAAAAATTGTGATGATACCTGGTGATACCAAGAAGACTGTGTTCGGGAAACTAGAGAAAACCATTGGGTGCCGTGTAGGACGGGTACAAATTATCGACAACGAACCGGATCGACGACGAGCTACCTTGGGCAAGAAAATGCAACATAGCGAAAGCACTATCAGAGTAAAGAATTTTAAACTGAGAACTGACGAACAATGGACGACGATACAATTGAGGAAAGATCAAATGGAAGATCCAGACATCGGAGCAATACTACGGCTCAAGGAAGGTAATGGCGAGAGACCACCGTGGCAGAAAAAGCTCTCTGGGCTCAGTGGAATTCACTGGTGATTGAGAATGGATTGTTAAAGCGCACGTGGGAAAGTGCGGATGGCAGGACAGTAACAACTCAGTTACTGGTACCAAGGAAGAAAGTTACCCAGGTATTAGAAGAAATTCATGGTGGTAAAACTGGAGCCCATCTTGGGGTAAACAAGACCCTGAGCAAGCTGAGAGACCGTTTTTACTGGGTGGATTATTGTGAAGATGTTAAGAAATGGTGTCAACGTTGTAAGATTAGCGCAGCTAGACAAGGACCAAGTACTCGATCTGGAGGAAAAATGGAACAAGATAACGTTGGACTGTCGTTCGAAAGAATCGTTAGGAAGGAAAGATTATTGGGAATTCATAAGGCCGTGAGAAGTAAGATTACGCTAGCCAGTGACCGGATGAAAGCTCGTTACGACCTGAGAGCTAATTCTACGGGATTTCAACAGGACGATAGGGTATGGTTGTATAACCCACAGCGCAAGAAAGGAAGGTCCCCAAAGTTAACTCCAGCATGGGAAGGTCCTTATACAGTCATCAAGAGAATAAATGATGTTGTGTACCGGATTCAACGCAGCCCTAGAAGTAAGATGAAAGTATTTCATCTGGATCGATTGAAGAGATACCAGACAGGAAACCTTGATCCGGGACGATCAAATTTGAGAAGGGGGCAATGTCAAGGTGTATTACTGGTTGCATAACTGCGTACTGCTGAATAGTCGCGGCGTGCATTGAGGAACATGGCGCATTCGCCAGAAAGTAAAGAAAATTATAGAATTCTTTAGAAAAATCTAGAAACAACCGCCAGGGGGTATATAAGGCCCGCGCTTTGACAGTTGGACAAGTTTGAAGTCTAAAGTCTGAAGATAGTCTGAAGTTTGAAAATACCGCGAAATACCGTTAGAGTAATAGTAGTTGCATAAGTTGTGTTGTAAATAGTACAAGTTGTGTGTACAGAGTGAAACAAATAAATTCGTTAAGTATTTTATCGTGAGTTTAAATAGTGGACCCACGGAATCCGTAACAATATATTAGATATATCTCTTACACTTGACATTGTGTCAAAATAAAATCCATTAGAATCTTTGAATAAAAATATTAGGGAAGGAATACCAAATGATCGAAAAAAAACAGCGTCAGCGATGGCTATGCATTGAAGATCGTTGTTATTTTATATGTAAAATTATATGGGGAACGGCATCGAGGTTCATTTCCAAGGCAACTGGACACCGTTTTCTTTCGATCATACGGTACTATTCATGTATTCATGCATGGTAGACGGAATCGACATCGTAGGTGCCCATTTTTGACATTTCTGTTTGACGTTTCAATTGAAACATTTGAATATGATTTGAAATTTTGTGGATTTGTTTGTCTTTACTGAGCTTATCTAATGTTATTTTTTATTCCACAACTGGTAGTTATTTAGAGTTTATACAGGGTTGTTCACCACATACGACACGGAGTATTGTAGCTAAACGATTAGATTTTTACAAATTGTAAGTTTTGGGTTCGTTGAAGGACTATTAGAGCTGCAATTTAAAAATATTTCTAAAAGATACAGAGTGTCCCAAATAAATAAAAAATATCAAAGTTGTATTTTTTTAAATGGAACACCCTGTATATTATTACATTTTTAGTTTCTACGATTAAAATAAAGCTAAATTTGATAAAGGTTTATTACACTTAAACCTTACCGTTTTTGAAATAATCAATTTTGTGAAATTGCAGTCAAAATTTTAAGGCTTCATTTCTCCAAGGGTATGAAAGTTTTTAATACTAAATATTTACTGAAGTTTATTTATTGATCAGTTATTGTGTTGCAATAATAAAAATTATACTACCTTATACAGAGTGTCTAAAATTTTATTTTAAATAATTACTAGCTTTAAACGGCAATAACTTGTTTAATTTAAATGGAACATCCTATATATTTTATGAGAATCAGATGCACAATTTAATTGTTTATCAAATTGTATTAGTATAATTTTTATTATTGCAACACAATAACTGATCAATAAATAAACTTCAGTAAATATTTAGTATTAAAAACTTTGATACCCTTGGAGAAATGAAGCCTTAAAATTGTTACTTCAATTTCACAAAATTGAAAATATTTCAAAAACGGTATGGTTTAAGTGTGATAAACCTTAATAAAATTTACCTTTATTTCAATCGTAGAATCTAAAAATAGAATAATATACAGGGTGTTCCATTTAAAAAAATATAAC